TCTTCGCGCGCGTCACCATCTGCAGCCACCGGCCTCCTATCACGCCCACGGCGAATTATCAACACCCCGCGAGCCCCTTGTCGCGCCTGCCCGCTCCCGGAAGCACCCATACCCTCGTCGGGGGAACCACCGAGATCGTCCTCCGACTCGATGTCGAACGACGGCGTCGCCGGAACCCCACCGCCATCGCCGCCGTTCCCACCACCGGAATCGTCGTCTAATTCCAGCGAGTGATCAGTAGAAGTGTGCGAAAGAGTGGAAAGATTACCTTCTTCGCCTTGTACGACCTCAGCCTCGTTGATGTTGATGCCAGCCATGGTAATAACTTGATCCAGCAACAGAGAAAGGAGAATTGAGGTTGTAGAAGGAGAGGAATCTCAGAGAAAGGAAGAACAGAGAAACAATGAGCAGAGTTGTGAAAACAGACGAGTCCAACCCTCCCATAACAAACCCATATTTATAGTCAGCCAAGGGAAAACGAAGGGTTAAAGCTACATAGGGATTCGTAACCGTCAGATCCTACAAAATCTTTTCGAATTCTTTCGAATTTCAAGAAATCCCCGCCCAAATAGCCCAATCAAGCAGGGACACGTGGACACCTACCATCATAGACAATAGTCGACGACGCCACATGTGCCGCGCACCGCCTGGGGGGCATGGCACACCCGCGAGGAAGAAAAAACAACACCACTTACGGGCGCAGCTCAAAGTCACGCGCACAACAGGGGGGCATGGCGCACCCGCGAGGAAGAAAAAAACAACACGACCTACGGACGCGGCTCAAAGTCACGCGCACACCAACTTCGACCGAGCGCACGAAATCAAATGGACAGCACCCGCGATGCACGGGACGCGCGCGCCACTAAGGACACGAAGATTGCGTGCCCACTCCAATCAGTAGCGCGGAAGAAGATGGAATCACCCAGATCCGAGTCAACCACACGAAGATCAAACAGGTGGCATTCGCGGAACACCCCCTGATGGGGGCAATTGTTGGGCATGTGACTCGGATCTCTCCCCACTGAAGAAACACCAAGGATAATCACGCCAAAGAATGGCGCGTGAGTACACCGGAGTCAAGCGCCGGAGTCGAGCGTGCAGGTCGCGCCGGAACCAAGCACGCCGGTGAAGACCACCCCCGGAGGGGCGCGCGCGAATACTAAACAACGACGCGTCACCCAGGCGTGGGCCCTTATCGAGAAGCCGCAGAAGCGGCGCCGCGTCACCCAACGGGTAGTCACCATCATAGTCCTAGGAATAGTCCTGCCTGTGTCAGGAGTAGTCACATCAGGGTCCTAAAAGCATGGACTAAATCCCTGGCATGTAAGTGGTCATATCATTGTACCCACTTGTAATCCAACCACTCACCCACCACCATGTAGCTTATAAATATGGCATTTACTCCGGTGGGTGAGGGGATCGGATTTTTCAGACTCTATCTCTAAGATCAACACTTTCTCTCACTAGACACATTCTCTCTATCTCAGCTCCATCCTCCCTCTCTGTTATCCCAAAGTTCTCGTTCAACTAAGCCATCCATTCTTCTCGACCCATTCTCGTGAACCTCACTCCTACACTCAGTTAGGTTCAAACAGTTACTTATTATAAATTGCGGACATGGGTAAATTCAAGAAGTTTCAACTTCTTTTTCGGTGGAATGGTAGGGTGACAAACTCCCATTTTGTGATCGATTATGAAGATGGTGAATCCACTATGTTAAAAATTGAGTTCTATTCACGTGGCAAGAACTCCATGATATTTGTGCTGACAAGATTTGTACGGGCTGACATACACGAGTTGGTAAAACTTCTTACCAGTATCCAAACATGAGTGGAGGCGGTGTCATGTATGAAGAAGTTGTCATATATGATGATGAAGCGGTTACCATGATGTTACAGTTCCTAACAGACAACAAGATCGTGTTGGCAGAGGTGTATGTTGAGACTGAGGTGGTCCGTGAAACTCATTCTCACCAATATTCTTAGATGATGGTTTTGCAGGAGGGTACAAATGTGGTGGTAGTTCAAGCAACTACGAAGGAGATAGTTCTGGAGCCAGGGTGCTATGGGAAGAATACCCGCAATATGGTGACCGAGCTGAGCCTGTTCCATTTGTTGAGCCTGACGACATTCAATGGCATGCTTGAGGCCAGAGTGGGCTGACATTGAGAACACCATTCGATCGGGCGTACTTCGCATGAGCTTGAAGAGTATGTTGATGGTACTCGTCACAATGATCCTCTTGACCTTAGCTATCCATTCTCCTCCAGCGACAAGGAAAGTGAGGAAGATTTTAGATTAGTGAGTGAGGAGGAAGATACGAACGATGAGGTAGCATTTCGTGAGCCACCGACTCCATACTACACAGAGGTCCCATCTCATCATTTATATGGTCAGAAAGATGCTCCTCACTATTTTCCTATGCCCATGTATAATCCGAAGACCGATTTGGAGATGGGTATGATGTTCGCTTCAAAGGGCGTTGTTGCTTATGCTTTTTGTGAAGAGGTCATGCGGCAAAATTTCGAGTGGAGGGTAAAATATTCTGATGGCAAACAACTCCATGTCATATGCAAGAATGCTGGAGAGGGTTGTATGTGACTACTACGAGCTGCAAATATGAAGAGAAAGGCAGCTTGGGTAATTTGCATACTATAGAACAACCACACCTGCTCCTCTACCATAATATCCCAGGATCACCGCCAACTAAAAGCAAAGAAAGTGGGTGCAACCATTAATCACTTGATTGAGGCTCGACCAGATATCACAATCAAATCTATCATGGTTGAGGTGAAAGATCGGCATTCCTGCACGATCAAGTATAAGAAGGCATGACAAAAGGCCATGGTTGAGGTTTATGGTGATTGGGACGACTCATACGCTTTACTCCGGAGACTGATGAATGCAATGGAGGAGTCCAACCCCGGGATTGTTTTTGTGCTTAGAGAGAGGAGCAAGGGTTCCACCTGAAAAAGAGAGGGAGCTTGAAAAGCCCTTCAATTTGGAAAGTATTGGAGATGATTTCTAGAATTGAAGCCCTCAAGTTGATGATCCCCTCTTCCTCCTATTGTGTTCTTTCTCAACCTTCACGGGGGTGATTCCTTATGTGTTTTGGAGAAGAAACCTTAACATAATATATGGATATGTGGTTTGTAATGAATAAGTTTGTTGAATTTCTAGCAGATTATGTCTATGTTTATTGAATTAATTGCTTATTCATGCCTCGATTGTGTATGGATGATGATATGGTGTTTGACCCATAAAGGTAGCCATTCAACTGAGTCAAGTCTAGACCTAAAATCAAGTAGAATAGCTAAATATCTGCATGGCCATTGATTTTCCTAGCTAATGCAGTCAAAAGCGCGATTCTACCTAGAAGCGGAAAAGGGGTAAAATCGTAAAGCGTAGAATCGAAGCGTAAAAGCGTAAGTTTTTTACGCATATTGAAAAATAACTAGAAATCTATGAAGTAGGACACATGCTATGCAAAATATGAATGCACAGAATTTAGATAAGTCAATAAATACATGCGATTCATGCCTAAAGTAGAACAACTTATAGCATCTTAATAATAAGTTTGTAAACATAAATTTTAACAATAAACCACTTTTCCCACTATGCTAATGAATTTGGGAAAAGTCTAGTTGGTGAATTAGATTACTCTATTGAAGTTGAGGATGCATCCAAGTACCTTATATGTATCTTTTAATCTCAAATGTATCATATTGTTGGTGATTTACTTTTAAAATATACATTTTATAATTAATTTCATGAAAAGAATACTAATTTAGTGAGCTAAAAGCGTAAAAACGTAAAGTGTTTTGGAGAACTGGAAGCGTAAAACCGTAAGCTTTTAAGTTTTAAAGCGCAATTTAGTCCGATTTTATACACTTAAGTTTTTATATGGAAACGAAAGCGTTTTGGTGACCTAAAAGCGTAAAATCGTAAGTTTTTAAGTTTTAAAGCGCGATTTTGACTGCATTGTTCCTAACTAAGTGATTGTTGGGCTTGTCCCTAATTCGAGAATTATACTTAAAACCTAATTATGGTGGTCAATTACATTTACCATTTGCTCTTTTGATGCATCACAAAAAATAATTTTATGATCGGCATAGAAAAAATGTGTGACTTCTATTCTTCGAACTTCATCAATGCAAAACCCATAAATAAAACCCTTTTTCTGAATTTCTTGCCGCATGTATGACACCAGGTCCATTACTAAATTAAAAAGAAATGGCGACAATAGATTGGCTCGCTTTAGCCCTAGTTCCCCCCCCCCCCCCCCCCCCCCTTCCTTTCTACTACTGAATGAGCTCGTTTGGGGTCAGGCTAGCTTCATGTATCTGTCTCCCCCTTTTTTTGCCAAAGATATCCCACAATGTGAGAGACAAAAAAATACGAAATATAAGTACGAAAGATTTGCATATCAAATCACAAAACAACAAATAAGAAAGAAGCGTCGAACGATCCAACGATAAGAAGACTTTTACTGCCATGATATGGGCGACCCTAATACCAGAATCCATGTATCTGTCTCCCCTTTCATTCCACCAAACTGGTATTTTGACACAAGGAAAATTTTTTTTCTATGTCAGTTCTGGAGGGTTTGAGACGGTTAATTGGATGAACTTCTCGGTAACAAAATTGGAATTTCGGTACCAAACCCCAATTCACAATTTTACGAAAAGGGTTAAATTTTTTTGTATAGAACCATGACAGAGAGCTCTGAATTCTGATTCGGGCGGACGTTTCCTTTAGGGATATCCACACCACTTCGGCGACGTCGCTTGCCAAGCACACAATAATTTGGACGTATACAAATAATACAATGTAACATGTATCCAGTATTTTAAACATGCATATATTACTAGAAAAAACGTCAACATGGCTGTCTGCGTCTCTCTCATTCCTTTCCTTTGTAAGAATCTAAGCCTCCTTGGCCGGTTTCATAAATACCCTACACACTATACACACCGAGGGATATATGCCCCCATAGCAAGAAACGATATATCTTTGTGTTTAAAGAAAAGTCCTTTTATTTGCGCAAATTGCTTTAAATTGGTGATGATGGCGGCGACGGCGGCGGCCAGCAACTGGCTGAACTGGAGGTTCTTGCTATGCGTAGTGTGGGTACTGGTGTCGATGAACATTGCTGTGTTGCTGATATGGAGGAGGAAGAAGAAGAACGGTGATGAACAGCCTGCAGATCATGACGGTAAGATTGGTGGAGAAGAAGAAATTAGCAGGAATCAAGCATGGAAACCATGCCTGAAATGGGTTCACCCAGCTTGGCTTCTTGCCTTCAGGCTCTGTGCATTCTCAGTCCTCTTGCTCCTCCTGGTTGCCATTGTTCTCGTCGATGGCGCCGTCATGTTTTACTACTACACCCAGTCAGTAGTAGTATACATATAATTGATCTCTTCTTTCCTTTTAGCTAAAATAATGGGCATTAATTGGGTTTATTTTGTGGACGCGCGCTGCAGGTGGACGCTTACTTTGGTCACCCTGTATTTTGCTGTGAGTCGTTTCTCTGCCTTGTTAATTAATTGGTTGCAATGCATTCTGAGCTTCAAGTTGACTTAAAGTTTGCAGCTTTACCTCAAATAATGAAATGATTTGAACTCTGCAGATGGGGAGCTTGATCTCGATTCGCGGATGCTACGAGTATAGCCAAATGGGAAGCATGGATGTGGTTGGCAATACTGCAGCAGAGTTGGACGATGCAGAGCATGGCCATGGCGGCGGCCAGAGTTCGATGAAAGGCTCAAGCTCTGCAGACCAAGCTGCAGAAGAAGTTGATGATGATCAGCGCGAACCTGCGGGCGGATGGGGTTGTGCATTATTTCAGATCATTTTCCAGGTAGTATAAATATAATACAGAAACCCAACAACAGTACTATGGTCAGATTCTGCCACACATTCATCACAGAACAAAAACAAAGACAAAACAAAAAAAATTGCTGAGATTCTGCTGCTTGTTTGTGTTTGTTTTTCCGGGTGATTATAATTCCTATATATGCTTTCTCTGTGGTTTTGTTGGACTGAATCTGTATGATCTTTTTCTTGGTTTTGGTGGCTGGCAGATAAGTGGTGGAGCGGTGATGCTGACAGATATTGTGTTTTGGTTTGTAATTTTCCCGTTTCTTGCTATCAAAGACAAACGACTCAACCTAGTGAGCAGCCTTCATTCCTTGGCTGGCTAGCTGTTTTTCTGTACTGTTTTTCTTATTTTTCCTTCTTTCTTTGTGTCTAATTCTGTTTCTTGTTTTGTTTTGTTTTCATTGATTGGGGCGTGGGGATGGGCAGTTGATAGTAAGCATGCATTCCATGAATGCCATCTTCTTGCTGGGAGACACTGCCATGAACTGCTTGGTGAGCAAGTTATTGCTTTCCCTCACCACTTCCCTTTTGTGTTTTTTATTAGCCGGTCGACCCGTTCTATTTCAAATGTCTCTCTAAAAATGATAAAATCACACATAAATTTGTGAGATGTTTAGAAAAAATTCACGACGATTTGAAAGACATGTTTGAAGTTTAAGGATAATCAAATATCATGTGTTTCTTGAAGTAGTATTACTCTTGTGATTGTTTTTTTTTTTTTACGATTTGTGCAATATGTATTTCATTTCATTAGCATGGAGGATTTGAGAATATTTTAATTGACATGTGTTAGGTAAACTATTGCCGTGCATATGTAAAGATTTGTGTTCTTTTAAAAAATATGAAGCATGTTTGATATTGTTTCTGAGAGCGCTCATGACCCAAAACGACCCGAAATCCGATGATTTTGGTCAATATTTAACCCAAAATCAGTCAATCCAACATAACTCAACCTGTAACCCGAGGCCCCAATCCGATCCGATTGCCAGGTCTAAATCTATCTATTCATAAAATTCATTACTCAGACCACTCATAAAGTTTCATCCAATGACGTTGGAAAATATGCTGATAGGGTGGTGGTATGTGCTCAAATAATTGACTTCATGAAACCACACCCAATGTTCTGATTGGACAAGATTATATTATTTATTAAATTACCACCACATCGATCCAACACATAATCTTACATGAGATTGAATATTGCGGGGAGTCATGACTCATGACCAACACATTGAGCACGGTTCACTTTCATTTTCGTTTTCTGTTTCTTGTTTTCATGTCATAAATTTGGTAATCGAAACGAGAAAACTTGTTTACTTTTCATTTCGTTTTCTATTCGTTTCCAACTATGAAAACAGAAAGTGGCAACTTCCTGCTGTTTTCAAAAACGACAAAATGTTGTTTTCACCTGTTTTCAACATCTGTTTTCTAAAAAAACAGGAAACAGAAATGAAAGTAACAAGCCCTAACTATTCTCACCATTGTTCTTATCTCTGTTTATTTATTTATTTTTATTTTTTTTCTGGTTCAGCCATTTCCGTTTTTCAGGATTGGATATTTCATCATGTGGACAATCCTATACGTACTGTTCCAGTGGATTCTTCACGCTTCTGTCAAGATATGGTAATAACCTTCACTGAACATTCATGCAACTCTTACCTCTTTTTTTATGCTCTTTTGTAGTTTTGGATCTCCTCTTGCATCATGGATTATTGTGTTGTGTCAATTGTCAATATTTTTGTAGGTGGCCGTACCCATTCCTCGATATTTCGTCTCCTTCAGTCCCCTTATGGTACTTGGCAGTAGCAGCGATCCATGTTCCTTGCTATGGAATGTTTGCTTGCATTGTGAAGCTGAAGAACACTCTGTTCGTCAAATGGTTTCGGGACTCGTACCGCGGCTTCAACTAGCCAGCTCTTTTCCCCCACCATTAATCGAGATACGACGACGTACCCCAAGCAAAGTCGAATCCCTCCTTAAAAGAGAGATGTCCTAAACCACTAGACGATAGATGCATATTTACCCGACAGTGAGCATTCTATGGTCATATTATACACATGTGTAAAAACAGGGAGTAAACTGCAAAGAAAGAAAGAAATGAAAATACAAATATTTGTTTGTTTCTTCTTTGTGATTATTGTTTTTTTTTTCCTTCTTTCAAATGTAATTCCTCTGAGGGAGGATGTCTTTCAGAAAGTTTGGTGGCTTGCATTTCTCATCTAATTGTTTTTGTATATAATGGCAACATAAAAGAAATTTGAAAAATCTTAGAAAGAATACACACAGAAAGTTGAGACTACAAAAATAAAACAGGGTGATTTTCATCCTCGCCTATCAAATGGAAACCACAGAATACCACACCACTATCACACAAAAACTTATTGTTATCTGGTTTCTGTAGCAATGTTTCCTCTACAAGTATATTTATTAATAGGGTTAATACCCTAGTTTGGCTTGAAGTTTAACGTAAGTGACAGTTCTGGCCTCATTTTTCAAATAAAACATTTGTGGCCTACTTTTGAAATTATTGGACAAATTTGGCCCAAAACTTGTGTTGACTGTTAACATTAACGGTCAAATATTTATTTCGTCAAATGATTCAGCATCCTATGCTGAAGTGGCAATGATGTGGCTATCATGTCATTTTTATTTCAATTCATTTTTTAGTACTTAAAAACATGAAAAATAAACATAAAAAACCCTAATCTAAAATCTCTCCTCCGATCTCCCTGTGCCTCAGTAGATCTCACTGCTCCATTGACCCTCCCCTCTCATTCGCCACCATGGATCGAAAGCAGAGCTCCCCCTCTTCTCTACCATCGTGGATAGCAAATCCCACAAGAACCCCAATCTCAAATAGATAGCAAATCCAATCCCCTCCCAACTCCCTCCATCTCCTCTTCCTCTGCTCTCTCTTCGCACTATTGGCCCATCTCAAAATTGGTTCTAACCATGGCCTTCGTTGTGCCCTAACCATGACTCGCTTCCATGGGCAACAGCGCTGCCAAGAAGTACGACGGAATCGACGCCCCATCCGAGAAGAGAGCCCGCGGTATCACCATCAACACCGCCACTACGCCCACGTCGACTGTCCTGGCAAAATCGATTACGTCAAGAACATGATTACAGGCGCTGCATAGATGGATGGGGCTATGAATCTAAATCCAACCTTGATCCCCGGCGGCGACGTAGCTTCAGATCTCACGGCGGCTCGCCTCTTAGGCGGTTTCAGAGAAGGATCCATTCTCGCGGTTAGATTCAATTTGTTCTCTAGGTTTGGGGTTGCAGAAATAGATTTGTGATTTGTGTTGGCGGCACGAGGGCAGGGACTTGCGACTGAGGAAGGCGGGGTGGCCCGGGAGGAATGGCGACGGCGGGGGATGTACAACCATCGACCGCCGCTGAAATATGTTGGGAAATAGGATCGAATTTGGGGGAGATTTGGAAATCAAGAAGGAGACGAAGAGTTTAGAGAGAGAGGGAGATCCATCATATCCCTTCACTTTATTTTTTCAAATTTTCATTTTCATGTTTTTGTTTTTAAAATTCTTTATATATTATTATTTTAATATAAATTAAATGAAAAGCCACGTCATAACCACGTCGGCGTTAAGTGCCGAGTCATTAACGGAAAAAATAATTGACCGTCAGTTTTAACGGTCAACTCCAGCACTAGGCCAAATCTGTCCAATAATTTCAAAAGTAGGCCACAAATGTCTTATTTGAAAAATGGGGCCAGAAGTGTCACTTACGCTAAACTTCAGGCCAAACTAGGGTATTAACCCTTATTAATACTCCAAATCTTTTCCGTGGAAAGAAAAAAAGTGATGAAGAGAGCAGAAGGAGAAGAGATGTACAGTAGTGGTGGGCGCGGGGAAATTATAAAGATGGAAAGCAAGGGTAGTGTTGGGCCAAAAGGGATGACTAAGCAAGCCCAGCGCACAGTATTCGTCAGCCCAAAAGACATGAAAGTCAGCCCAATAAATAAGAGCAAGGCCCGGAAGGAAGGGTCCGAGGAAGAAGGGGAAAATATCGCCAGAAGCGGGAGTAAACTCGCAAGCGTGCATGGGGAAGGTAAACTCGATAAGACGTAAATAGCAGTAATCATGGCTATTCTGACAGCATTTAATGCGACCGTAAGCGTAAGTACGAAAAGAGTACGTCAGATACACGCTCACCAGAGCATTGATTGCCCATACCCACCCCCATTGGCTATAAATAAAGGTCCAACCACATCATTTAATGGTAACTCAACTACCCCAATTCTCTCTCTACATTCTCTCTCGACTAAAACCTGACTTAAGCATCGGAGAGTATCCGAGGCCCACGCCTTCGGATCTTTCTTGCAGGTGAAGGAGAACGCTTGCGTTGAAGGAAAGACGGGATCCTAGCAGAATCGTCCTCCACTACGCCTTGGAACATTCCAGGCTTAAACCGGTAGTAACATGTGGAAACCAGTTGTCAAACCGTCCTGGGGTCCGCTTTAGGTTCTTGGTTCTCTGCAGTTCTACCTTCCCCGCCACCCCTCGGATTCGCCGTTGTTCTTCATCCTTATGTTTTAATTCAGCTTATTAATTTGTTTGATCTATGATTGGATTATTTTTCCCACTAACCTTCTTTGTCATTCTTTTTAGCAATTTATCTCTTCTACTGTTGTTTCGCTCAAGTATCTACCTTCTCCGACAACGGTCTTAGTTCCCTGGTTCATTGATCCTGTTCGTTTTTGAGTTACTGGCGGCAAAGATAAGGTAGGGAGCTTCTAATTTTGGATGCTATATTTTTCCCGATTCCTTGTTTGTGCCACAGGGTTTGTAGATTTTAGCTTCAACTTCTCCATCCATGGATTCCGTCACCTGACGCCGCTGGCCCCATCGGTTTCTTCCGCTTCCAATTTCCGCCGCTGCTGTTAGCCAATCGTTGGCCTTCATGTATTGGGGACAGGAGGAGCAGATTAAAGAGGGGTGGGCTACGGAGAAATTGGTTGAGGACGCGTGGCTATCTTTATTCTGAAGAAAAACAAGGGCTGCTTTCCTTATTCTTATCCGCCAGCTTTGGTCGGGCAACTCCTAGAGATGAGCGTAGTTGTGCTTATCCCACAATTAGAGGAGTTGGCTTCATTTTTGCTTTTCCAGTTGCTGATGAGGTGTCACTCGTGGCACTTGGGCCTATTGGGCCGGGACTATTTTTGTGTTCATTGTTTTGCAGATAGCTTGCACTTCAGGTCGGTGTTGCGGGCCCTAGCTTTTAGCATGAGTAGCATAATCCGATCCTAGGTGGAGACACGGAGAGCTTTAAGGCGCAGTGGTGTAGTGGCGGAAACCTATATCCTTTTTTTAAGGTTTAGTGTTTTTGTTACTCTGTTCTTAGGAACTAACAGAGCTGCCCATTTTGTGGCATAAAGGGCTCTTTCATCGGCATATCGATTAGTATTGACTATCATTATTTTTACCTATTATAAACATATTTGTCTACTATTTCATCTGACTATGATATAAAAAAAAGTATATTTGTTAATAAGGTTGAATGGTTGATGAAGAAACCACAATTTGTACGTTAAGTTTGCAAACCTGAAAAGGGAAAATGAGTGAAGAAGTATCATCACAAGCTTGTCGAGCATAACAAGAGATTCCCACCTCACAACATACACGGCAAGAAAATTAGCTTTTAGTGTCTAAACTTCACAGCACATAAAATATGTGTCTCTAAAAATATGTTATTCACGACTAATATATTATATGGCTCCAAAAGTATTATTATTTGTCGTTAAATTATTATTCTTTTATATTACATTATATGGTGAGTTCTACGGTACCCAGGGTGAAATCCGGGGTACCGCATACCTTGAGTACGAAAACGCTATCCAAAACTTGAATTGACTGATCTTTCGGACATGATACTATACTTTAACCCGTAAAGATCAAAATCTAGGCCTTAATTCTCTAAATCTTATACCCCAATATCAATTTAATTAGAAACAATAATCGACGGTTATGATTCGTCCAAATATAGGCACAAAAATCAATGCACCATCTTAGAATTTATAGTTTATGATTTGGATAATTAGGACCTAGGGTTCACTTATTAAGGGTTATGGTATAGTATCATGCCCAAAAATCCTACTAATTCGAGGTCTAGATAGCGTTTTCATACTCAAGGTATGCGGTACCCCGGATTTCACCCAAGGTACCGTAGAAGGCACCTACATTATATTTATATTAAAATATTAGTTTTAGCAGCACATTTTCTGTAGCTATTAAGGTCTGGCTTTATATCGTGTAGAAAAAAATATAATTTTGATAATTAATTATCATAGTTTTTTTGCAGGCAGATAGTCATTTGCTTCTAAAGAAAAGTTTTTAGAGGCTAAGAAAATAGTTGTTGTTGCTTCTTCATTTTAAACGAGCTAAATTGACAAATAGTTGATCTCAGGGCTATGGTGAATTATGTGTGGCAGGAATCTGTCCAAGGTACTCTTATGTTCCAACTATGAGAAAAACTTAAGAAGCTTCGACATTTGCTCTATGATTGGAGTAGGGCGGGTACCACAAACTCTCTCCGCAATATCAAAACTCTACAAGCTGAAATTGATCGGATTAAAGCTCTTCACCCCAGTAACTAGGATGAAGTGCGGATCCTTGAAATGGAATTCAATAGGCAATGGGAAGCGAAGGAGGTTTACTGCAGCAAAAGTCTCTGGGTCCGATGGTTAAAAAAGAGTGATAAAAATACTTCGTATTAACATACGGTCACGAGGGCTCGTAGAAAACAGAATTCTGTGTCCGGCCTGCGAAATGATAATGGAGAATGGATCACTGAGGAGAATGGGAAGGCAGACATTGCTAGTACTTTCTATCAGAATCTCTTCACCTCTGAGAACCATGTGCTCAACACGGATGAACGTGTGGCTGCTCTTCCCATTGCTCATAGTGTTACCCCGGAAATGAATGACATTCTTACGACTGAGGTTCTTCCTAAACGAAGTGCGGAGAATGGTCTTCTCATTGGGATCAAAACAGGCCCCGGGATCCGATGGGTTCACTGGAAAAAATTTAAATCCTTCTGGGACATTGTTGGTAACTCGGTGATTGAAGTTTTCTTCTCATTCTTCGCAACTAGTAGAATGCTCCGGAGATTTAATCATACATGGTTGACCTTAATTCCAAGGTGGATAATGTTGAGACTATGTGGCAACTTCGTCCAATCAGCCTTTGCTAGTTTGTTTACAAGATCATTACTAAAATCATGGCTGAAAGGCTTGCTGGCCTCTTACCTCAGATTGTCTCAGAAGGACAAAATGCTTTCATCCGTGAGAGGCAAATTGTTGATAATATTCTCATTGGTCACAAGTTAATGCATTATTTGAAAATCAAAACACGCGGTAAGAAAGGGTACATGGCTCTAAAGGTTGACATGGAAAAGGCATATGACAGAGTCCAATGGCCTTTTCTGCTAGCGGTTTTGGAGAAAATGGGCTTTAACTTCGTCTGGAGAGGATGGATACATGAATGCCTACAATCAACATCGTTTTAAGTCCTCATGAATGTCACTCCTTCGGGATTTTTCACACCTTCCAGGGGACTCCGGCAAGGGGGCCCCCTCTCTGCTCTTCTGTTCGTGATCTGTAATGAGGGGTTTGCGACTCTCCTAAGAAAAGCAATAGAGGCTGGGAAACTGGAAGGGGTGAAAGTATGCCCTCGCGCTCCTCGTATTTCTCATATGTATTTTGCGGATGATTCTTATTTATTCCTTCGAGGTTCTCTCACGAATGAGAGGATTTGATCGAAGTGTTAAATGAGCATGAGGAACTGAGTGGCCAGAGGGAGAACTTAGCAAAATCGGCAGTATGTTTTAGCAAGAATGTTGCCCTACCAGATCAAGAGTTCTTGGCTCGGATTTTGGGAGTCGGGGCAGTAGGAGTTCATGATAAATATCTGGGGTTACGTACCCTGATTGCCCGTTCGAAAATGGCTACCTTTCGCTACTTGGAGGAGAAATTGATGGAGAGATTACAGAGTTGGAAGTAGAGGACGTTATCATGGACTGCTAAGGAAACCTTGATCAAATCCATCGCCTTAGCATTGCTGTTGCATGTGATGTCATGCTTCAAGTTACCTCTATCTCTGTGTCGACTCTTGGACAAACATGTAGCCCGCTTCTGATGGGGTATGGAAGATGGTCAGTCGAGGATTCGGTGGAGTTCCTAGCAGAATATGTGTAGGAGCAAACATGATGAGGTATGGGATTTCACAGATTTAAGCATTTTAATCAGGCGTTATTAGCCATAATCGCATGGCATATCCTTAATGAACCTCAACCTCTTTTAGCCCAAGTGTACAAAGGAAAATATTTTCCGAAGGGGACCTTTCTCCAAGCCAAGGCCTGCTCTCGCCCATCCTGGGGGTGGCAGAGTATCCTCTATGGGCGGCAGTTACTGGATATGAGGTTACGATGGCAAATTGGCAATGGTCAGACTACGTCTCTTCTTCATTCCAGCTGGATACCTCAGTTGCATCCCTACCCTCCAATGTATAATTCCCAGGTGCTTCCCAATGGGGTGACCCTCCGGTTGCCGAGATTATCTGCTAGGGGGAGGGCGTTGGTATGACATCAAGTCGGGGTTGTGGTTTGATCCGCCTACTTGTCGGGCCATCAAAGCTATTCCTCTTCCGTGCCATAATGTGGATGATAGACTTATCTGGCAAGGCGCGACTGATGTGGTTTTCACTGTTAAATCCGCCAGCCATTTTGCTGTCTCTCTTGATAAGCGGAATGGTCATTGGAGGTCTATGGCTAGCTGGATGGATAGGGCCAGTTGGATTCGTATATGGGAGGCCAATATTCCACCCAAATTGAAAGTGTTTGTCTGGCAAATCTTTCATAGAATCCTTCCAACTACTGAAGCTTTCATTGAGAAGGATGTCCTTATGTTTCCTCGATGTCTGGTGTGTTGGAGTGAGTCAGAAACAATGGAACAGTTGTTTCTTGACTGCCCAGTAGCACGCACCCTTTGGGACTACTAAAGTCTGGAGCATCTTGGGAAAGGGTTACCTCGGCATACTTTCCCACTGTTCCTAAAAAGGTTGATGTCCTTAATACATCAACCTTCTCTTTTCATGCCGGTTGTTGCTATCTTATAGAGGATTTGGAGGTCCCGTAAGTGGGTTGTCTTTGAGGGTAAATGGTTTGAGATCCCTGCCTTGATGCGCCAATTTAACCAACAATGTCAGGAGTGGGAAAGTTTGTCGGTGGATCGCATAACTCAAGTTCCATTTCCTTTGATACAACCATGGGTCCTGGAGGAGTCTAATATGGTTGTTTGTATGTGGGATGGGGCTACAAGTATTGGGTCTCACTCGGCTGGCGGGATGGTTCTTCTGAACCCCAATAGGGAGGTTCTTATGGTTCAGGGTATTCAGTTTCTGTTGATTGATGATCCTTTGGTGGTTGAGATGCTCGCGCTCCGGGAGGCTATTTTATGGTGTCTGGATCATGGCTTCACGGAAGTGAGGTTCGAACCAGATGCTAAAGTAGTCATTAAAAAGATCAATTAGGCGGATACCAGAGATAATAGGATAGGGGCTATTCTTGAAGAAATTGTGCAGTGCTTTGACGCTCACTCTGGGTTTAGTGTTCTATTTGTAGGTCGACGCAGCAATAGGGTAGCTCATGCAGTGGCTAGAAATGTCCTTAATTTGTATCCGACTATGAGTCGGTTCTATGATTTTCAGACCTGGCTGAACTCGAGACTATAAGTGTCTCTCTTTGAATCAATATGATTACCTTTTGTCAAAATATAAAAAGTTGTATTCTTCATTTTAAAATGAGCTAAATTTACAAATAATTGGTTTGATAATTATAATGGTAACCATTTGAACACCCTAGGGGTCGTTTGCTTGTTGGATTTGAAAAATGAGGGTTTTGGCCAATAAAAACCTTGAGATTTATGTTGGATTTATTGAGTTATGGATTTGAAGAGTCTAATGTTTGCATGATAGATTTCATGATGGATTTGTTAAATAAATAACTAACCATCAAGGATTTCCAAATCCCAAATCAATATGTGGGATTTACAAGTCCGTAGGGTCCAAAAATTTGGTTCCAAAATAAAGACCAAATCCGTGAACCCCACGGATTTAGCACCCTTCAACAAACAATGGACTTAGGTTAAATCCATCAAACTTGGAATTTGGGTACCAAATCCATTACCCAAATCCAACAAGCAAACAACCCCTAACCAAATGTGTGTTTTTATTTTTTCCCATTTCCTTTTGATTCGCTGCTCTACTTCAAAAAATTAAAACAGCTATTCGTTAAGTGAACGGCTATTTGCCGCCAATCAAATTGCTATTTGCCGCCAACTAAAAAAAAAAAAAAAGAATTCAAAATTTGAATTTTCTATTCCTTCCCAGTGCCTCCGTCGCCGGTAAAAAAAAAAATTTTAATTTTGAATTTTCCCTTCCTTCCCAGTGCCTCCGTCGCCGGCACCGTTCTTCCGTCGTCGGCTAACCTCCCGTCGCCCTCAATCGTCGGAAAACAAGTAAGTTTACTTTTTCCGGCCAGTTTTCCAGTTTTCCGGTAAGTTTTCCAGTTTTCCGGCGAAAAACACGGCGGGCCGAAAAAAATTGCGGCCCGAACGTCGCCGAGCCGAAAAAAATTTGTGGCCGGGACGACGGCCGGCCGAAAAATTCTTTCGGCCCGGGGACGCCACGGCCGCAAATTTTTTTCGGCCGGTCGCCGAACACGCCGGCCAAAAATTTTCCGGCGGCGTGTTCGTCGGCCGGCCGAAAAAAATTTGCGGCCGGAGCGACGTCGGGCCGAAAGAATTTTTTTCGGCCGGTCGCCGAACACGCCGGCCAAAAATTTTCCGGCGGCGTGTTCGTCGGCCGGCCGAAAAAAATTTGCGGCCGTGGCGTCGCCGGGCCGAAAGAATTTTTCGGCCGGCCGTCGTCCCGGCCTCAAATTTTTTTCGGCTCGGCGACGTTCGGGCCGCAATTTTTTTTCGGCCCGCCGTGTTTTTCGCCGGAAAACTGGAAAACTTACCGGAAAACTGGAAAACTGGCCGGAAAAAGTAAACTTACTTGTTTTCCGACGATTGAGGGCGACGGGAGGTTAGCCGACGACGGAAGAACGGTGCCGGCGACCGACGATTGACTTGCCTCGCGCCCGATCTTCGTCCAATCGACCCCGAACTCGCTAGAAATCCATAATGAAATTCATAAGTTCATAATGACACTAGGGTCATTAAAAATACAACTAGAAAAACAACAACATATAAATAGAGCATTGCAACACGACACACGATTTACGTAGTTCACTAACACGAAGTATTTATAGTACTTCTCCATGTGGGTCTAAACCTAATCCAATATGACAAAGGAAACGGTTACAGACCAGGCCCAGAACCCGAACCCAAATAACATTGAGCCCATACACCGTGGGGTGCGGGGGCAACGCGTTGCCCCTGGACCCCACTCGCTGACCGGTCAGCGAGACCCCCGATTACCAGTCGTAGCGGCTGATAGTCCGATTCAAGTCACATCAACAAAGGGTTTAGGGTTTAGGGTTCACTTAGGGTTTAGGGTTTGAAACACATGGTTCGTGTAGCACTTTGCCCACATTGTCTGATGGTTAGTGATGATTCATGGATGCGTGTACGCATTATATGTCGAGGATAGGCTTTCCCGATGATTTTCCGACGATTTTTCCGGTGAGCGTTGAATTTTTCTGATTCAATACGTTCTCTGAAAGTTGGATATGTTGTAGATTGTGAAACTCCTTAACCAAAGATGTATATATATACATTTTTTTTCATCGATGATTTTCCGGCGACTTTTCCGGCGAGCGTTGAATTTTTCTGATTAAATACGTTCTCTGAAAGTTGGATATGTTGTAGATTGTGAAACTCCTTAACCAAAAATGCATATATATACTTTTTTTTTTTTTTTTTGTTGGCGGCAAATAGCAATTTGGTTGGTGGCAAATAGCAAGCCTCTTCGTTAAACCCCGCCCCCGGAAATTTTAAACCCTAATCAGAGAGGAGCACTCTTGCCGCCGTGGGAAGACCTAGCGAAGCAGTGGGGATGGAAGCGCTGCACCGGCTAAAATCGACGGAACCTCCGCAATGGTTGACGCCATCGGCGCCACTTTCCGAGGCAGCACGAACGGCATCTCAGCACCTGTTCGCGTCTCTCAGACCTCACGTTCGGAAATCGCCGTTCGATGAATTGTTAGTCGATAATTTTGACGCCGAGCAGATTTGGCAGCAGATAGACCTGCTGACGCAGCCACTGGCTCGTAGCATCAGGCGTCGGGTTAAGCATTGGGAGAAGAATCCCGAGGAAATCGAAAATTTACTGCCACAGGTTGCCGAGGAAGGGAAGGAGGTTTCCGAAAGAAAGAAAATAGAAGAGCTTGATGATGATGGTGATATGGATTTGGATATGGAAGATGACGAGGATGATGATGATGAGGAGATGGATGTTGATAATGATGGACAGCAGGATGGTGTGAAAGACAAAGGGGATGAAAGTGAAGAGGAGGAGGAGGAGGAGAAAGGTGGAGGGATAGAAGACAGGTTTTTGAAGATAGAGGAATTGCAGGAGCATTTGGAGGATGAAGAAGCTCGGCATTATGGATTGGATCCAAAGAAAAAGAGTAAGAAGAAAAGTGGAAGCAAGAAATTGAAAGATGAAGATGAGGACAGTGAAGAGAATGAGGAGGAGGAGGATGACGATGAGGAGGTGAAAGGGTTTTCTCTATCCTCTTTCTCCTTCGATTTTCTGGGCCAATTTTAAAGCTTTTTTCAGTTTTCATTTTGCTTCCCTTTCGTACTCCGCGTTCTGATGGAATTCTGTTTTGTACAGCTTGATCTCTTTGCAGGGGGAGACGATGAAGCGGAAGATGAAGAGGACGAAATGGGAAATGCCAGGTCCTTAAACTTTCTTGTACAGTTCACTATTGTAGTTGATTATGGTTTAGTTTAGTTTAGTTTAGTTTAGGCGTATAAGTAAATTGATTTCTCTCCCTGGCACTAGTGAAGTGCGAACGCTTCAGCTTAACAATTTCAAGGCAGTAACATGAAGTTGGTTTTGTTATTTTAACTTACTAGTGTTCGATTATAGCTGTTATTCAATGGGAAAGCATGAACCGTAGCTTTGAGAACCTTGAACCAGAATCTACTGCTTTGCTTGTGCTAAGAATATCTACTTGAACTTAATGATACTTCACTCATGCTTCCGAATGTTCAGATATGAAGACTTCTTTGGTAAAAAGAAAGAAAGCTCAGAAAAGAAGCCCAAATATAAAGATGAGCTGGGCGAAGATTCAAGCTCAGACGAGGAGGAAGGTGAGGAAGAGTTGAGCTCAGATGACGAAGAAAAAGATGAGAATGCAAATGAGGTTGATGTTTATATAGGCTCACCTAGCCATCTAAGTATTATGATGAAATGTGTTTTTTCTCCTTAGCTCTGTATGCCTTGTTGTATTTATGCTAGTTTGATAATAACATACATCTGTAGAAACGGATGTTCACAAGGTTAACTTTCCTAGTGCAGAAAACGAAAGTACTTTCTACCCATGAAAAGGAAGTTCAGAAGATCAAATCTGAGATAGAGAAAATGGAGAAAGCAAATCTGGATCCAAAAACCTGGACCATGCAGGGAGAGGTAACTTTTTTTTTTTTTTTTTAAATGTAATTTAGGAACTGTCAATTTCTTTAGTCCTTAATTATGCAATGATGCCACTGATGGCAGGTAACAGCTGCAAACAGGCCCAAGAACAGTGCACTAGAAGTTGATTTAGATTTTGAGCATAATGTTAGGCCCGTCCCAGTAATCACTGAGGAAGTCACTCAATCACTAGAGGAGATTATTAAGAAAAGGATCATTGAGGTATGAACTATTACTTGCAATTTTGTAATTTTTCTTTCTTATGGATTGTTTGTTGAACTTCTGTTTCAATTAAGAATTTTCTTCTAGTTGTCTTTTTTGATGGACTATTTCTAATATCAGAAAGTCTAATAATAATTTCAGTCTGGTTTGCGGGCTGTAGCATGCTGATCCGACCTATATATTAAAACACTTAAACCTCTAGTGGCTGTCAGACCTATTTGCTCAATGCGTAAGCCAATCCAGCTATACACCTAGCTTTGGCAAACATAAATGCATAATGGATTTGTTATTGAGTTTCTGCTCTATGCTTGGGTTAGGAAACTGGTTGTAAATGCTACACCTCTGTAATATTGTGTGGACTTGTTCTGGCTACCATCCCGTGCTCACAAACAGCTTGGTATTATGTTACAGGGACAGTTCGATGACATTAAAAAGGCTCCTGGTTTGCCCTCCAAAGCACCAAGAGAATTGAAAACAGTGGTAAGAATGTGTGTTTTTTTTTCTTATCTTGTTTGTTTTCTTTTTCACTTTTCCATTCTTTTCGTAAGTGAAATTAACAACAATTTCATTTCGAAAAAAAACTGCAGGATGAAAATAAGAGCAATAAGGGTCTTGCTGAAGTTTATGAGGTTTGTCCATCACGATCGTCATTATGTTCACTTTTTTATTCTATCAGATCGATGTCAGTGACAGTTGGCTTTCGGAAGTTTTTAACTTTCCTTCTACTTGCGGCTCAACTGTTTCATCTAATTTGTTCCAGGAGGAATATGTACAGCAGACAGATCCAGCTGCTGCTCCATTATCTTTCTCAGATGAACAGAAGAAGGAGGTAAATAACCTGTATTTTTGTTTCTGATCTTTTTCCATTCTTATATAATCAATGTAAACTGTCCTGTCATTTTGTTATCTGGATTTCTTTCTCCAATCTCTTTGAATACCTATGGCAGGCAAGCACCTTGTTCAAAAAGCTCTGCCTGAAGTTAGATGCACTTTCACACTTCCACTTCGCCCCAAAACCTGTACGGTTTTCTTGTCCTCAATAAGCTTCCCGAGTATAGATCTTTTATATGCTTTCCCCGTATTTGCTGGTTTAATCAATTTCTTGTTGTTTGGCATGAATAGGTTATAGAGGACATGTCTATCCAATCAAATGTCCCTGCTCTTGCCATGGAAGAGGTAAAAAGGAAAGCTTTTTCCTTGTTTTTTTTCCAGACTCTTGCAATATCTCAATCGTTTCTGATCAAGTTATTGTCTTCCTTTCATAGATTGCTCCAGACGCGGTTTCAGATGCTGCTATGCTGGCTCCTGAGGAAGTCTTTTCAGGCAAAGGGAATGTCAAAGCAGAAGTTGAACTTACACAAACAGAAAGAAAGAGAAGGAGAGCGAAAAAGAAGCGAAAATTTAAGGGTGGGTCTCTACTTAGCAAGAAATGCGCTTTTTACCATCTTTTTTCGCAGTGTGTCCTATGTTTCGGTTAATTCAAGTTGGTCATTTGCCCACTAAACTGTGAAAATCCTTCCACTGCTCACAGCTGTAGAAACCAAAAGGATGGCAAGTAAGAAGGCGCGAGAAGATGAGCTACGAAAGCAGAAAGAAGGTAAATCTTTCTTTGTGGATGAACTATAATACATGTTTTCAGATTGGCATGACCTTAACCAATGGAGTTCTGAATCTCTGTCCTCAATTCAGCTGAGGGTAACCTTGAAGAACAATGACTTGTTTACTGAATGAACAGAGCTCCAGCTACGACTTCAATTTTGGGGTAATTTTGAGAAACCCCTATCCCCAGCACAACATTGCAAGATGAATTGGTCATGTGGGAATAGCGACTGCGACCAACACAAATTTGGAAGGAGGAACTGCTCAACATAATGAATGAAGGGCCCTGTTGGTATGAAGCTGCAAAAGTGGATCCATGGGATAGAAAGAGGAAATTTTGACATGTAATTAATTGAGTGGATGAAACGTTTGGCCTGTTTATACAGCATTAACATTGTCATTACGGCCAACTATACTCTATCAGTCTATCTTTCCTAATGATAAAGTTGTTTTACTCCATATGCATTTTTGGTGATGGATTCTGAAGCTTGAATGTTCCTACATGTAACATTCCATACATTTTACACATTTCATGCCTTCTTACATTCTGTATTCATAGTTCATTGTTCTTGTAGTTAATTCACTCGAACTAAAATAAGTTCATGACTGAAAATAACAATAATCGTCCTCCTCGTAACAGTAATAGTAGTAAGGATACTAGCTGCAAGTAAACTGTAACCATCTTTACACAGTTGAAAGTGACAAAAATGGGTAAGCGTTTGAACGAACACTCAATAGTCAATAGTGTTTCTATAACAGCGAAAACCTTCCTCAAAATTTGTATTAAGCAATTTAAAGGAGTCCTGCAAACTAAATAGACAGGAACCCTGCAGTGTTATCAAAGCAATTTATTCTGAATCTTGAACCCTAATAACATGGGAAGAAGATAATGCCGAGTAAACCGTTCCATGGTATTCAGATAGATCCACAAAGCCATCTCTTTCCTGTCCCGTCATGGTAGTCATACGTAGCAGCAGATTTCAGTCATGTCTCTTTCTCACCTTTTCACTCTTGCTTCAAGCCTCTCAATTGCAGCTCCAACACCACCAACAGCAGCAGTAGCGTCACCTCTGGTCGAATTAACACCACCCTCATTTGCCTTCTCCACCAGCTTCATTTGGACCCAACCTGCACATTGTTCAGGGTTAAAATCCCTTCACCTGATGTCTTGATGCAACCCTCCACCTTATTGTTCTTCAGCTTAACAAAAACAATGATCGACTACTTCGAACAAAACACCGAATGAACAGGAGACATGTATGCGAAGTACCTAGAGGGAAGCATACTACTGCACCAAGAACCGTTCCAAGTAGCACATTCCTCGCACGCCACCTAAGAGATCCAGGCACTGTATGAAGACAGTCGAAAGTAATTGTCACTCAGCAGTAGCCTATGATGCATCTTCAATAACAAGTTCATATCAATTGCACTACAGAAAGCTCTATAGAATCTAAAACGAAGAAGCAAAAACATAATGAACAAAGAGTTCGAGAGCATTACGGATTAGCCCAAATGTTGCAGCAGTGACTGAGCCAGCTCCGACCACATTGTAAACATCATGCACTCCCCCGCGTTGCTCAGCCATCAAGTTTTGCAGAGCACAAAAGCCAGCAGTGAACATGCCGAGTCTCACCCCACCAACCAGGGCGCCACGACTGACTTTAACGAATCTTCTCTCCATCGCGTCTCGCATCAAGTTGTACTGCTTGGCCTTGTTTGGCGTGCTGCCTAGCTTCAGCATCACGTCCGCATCTATACTCTGGCAATGTAGTAGCAAAACTTCTAGTTATCTGGCCTTTTTATAGGGAAAAGACGAATATACAGAGACAGAGACAGGAAGGAGGGAAGCAACAACTTACAGCTGATGCAGAAGCTTCCTTAGTGCCTCCATATAGCATTCCTGTGAAAAATCCGATCAAACTTGCTGTACTCCAAGATACCGTCCCGGCCAATTTTTGAGAGTTCTGATTGAATTCCAAGACAACAAACATGAACATCTATATACCGTGGAAATGAAAATTGAAAGTCTTGAACCCTAAATTCGTGATTCAAGGCCCCAAATGAAAGCAATGACAGCATAACGAGATAGATAAGGAAGGGAAGTCTCTCTCACCCATGGCTTCTCATTTTCGACGGCCTCCATCGAGATGACGAGGTGAGACTAATGTGTCGGCCCTGGAATTGGTGGATCTCTGGCGGGTTGTGAAAGAGAATGGAAGAATCGAAGGACGCACAAGAGAGAAGAACGAGAGGGAAGCGATACAGAGAAAAAAAGGGGGAAAATTGTAATGTTGTCCTTATGCTCTCTCAGAAGGGCATGAAATGAGTTGAGTTTGGCCAATTACAACATAGCTTTTTTACTTGTAAGTATTTACAGTAAAGTTCCAGCCATTCCTCATTACTATGTCGGAAGTTTGATATCGGTATTTGGATATACCAAATACCATATCAAATTTGTCTATATTTGGTATTACTGAATACACGTATTATTTCTTGGGATGGGGATAAGGGATTCAATTTTAATTGTTATTCGGTATTAGGGATTACGAGATTGGGATCAGTATATACTGAAATACCGAACAATACCGAAATATAAGCTAGTGTGTAGTTTATCCTCTCAACTAGACTCTCTCATTCACTACTACACTACCCTCAACCATCAATCTATTGTTATTTTCATAACACCAAAAAGCAAACACTATTATTAGTCTTCTCTCAGCCTCCAATTCGTCAAATGAAAGATTACCAATGACAAAAACTTGAGATGTCTCCTCTACTCGATTCTCCTTATCTATATCCTAACTCTAGTCAAACTCAAAACTTTTTGTTTAGTCTATTTGTCCTATATTAAACAATCAAAACTAATTTATATATTAATTATTAATTATAAATGTAATTAATTTCGTATTCGATAATAACGATTGGAATACCGAAATATTTAGGGATTGGGATACCGAAATTATTTAGGGATTGGGATTGTGATTGATTTTAGGGTGTAATTCGGTATTCGGAATTTAGGTATTTGGTATTGGGATACCGATACCGTACCGATTTCCACCCATACTCACTACTATACAATATTCCGGGAGAAGTTGTTGGCTTCTACAAATACTCGATCAAACGAGTGATTTTCTTGCCTGCGACGAATCCCATACTTCCGCCATAAATTAAAAATCCATAACTTCAATTGCTACATAGCTGATGTAAGGATTAGTATCCGAGTATGATTGAGCCATTAGATGAGAAGTACGAAGTTGACCCAAGTATGATGGAGGTGTCGCAAGCTATAGATACCATTGATGTTGTAGCCTGGAGTATGAAGCCATCATGGAGACACTTCAGTAAATGACCAATCCAGAACCTCCTAGAAGCACCAATTCTAACATCGATGACGACAGACTAAAGCACCTACTAGAAGATGTTCAAAGCATCCAAGGTGGTCAAGAAGCCAATGAAAGGCGCCCTAAGAAGATGCATAAAGGATTTGAAGAGATCGTAGACCATGGAGAGATCAAGAACCACGGAGATGTAGGCCACTTGAAGGCTATCCCATTTGATGAAGAAGAAGATGAGCATACAACTCAATCTTCAGAAAGAAAAGTAGGTGCAATGGATGAAGAAGGTTGCAGTTCTGAAGAATACATACTAATCCAAACTTTCTTGGATTTGTCGGAAGATGTTTAAGGCATCACACCACTTGAGGGCTTTCATCACTTCCTATATCTTCTTCAATCTGAATCCACAAGCAATCCACCTATTGGAGCATCCTCAACCATTGGAAACATACAGGAGTAGGAGACCGAGTGTGATGACCCCTTACAACTCTAAGTCAATGTTTAGATAAACCCTTGGAACCCATAAACCTTGAACAAGAGGAAGTAGAGGCAAAAATTTCACCTAAGGATGATTAACCTCAAATGGACCATAAAGATGAGGAGCCACTAGACAAGCAACCCTCTCCACCTATCCAGTCAAAGACGGAGCCTCAAGGGGAGCCTGGCGAGGAGCATAAAGACAAAGAACATAAAGGTCGAGCCACCATCAAGAGATGTGGTGGACCATACCAACTTGGCGTCCAATGAAGGAAGGGGGCAGATACCACCACCATCCAAGATATAGTGGAGGAGATCATCAATGAAGGAGTATCATCGAGTTGGCCATTGTTGAGATCATAGTAAGGAGCATCTATTTCGATGGAGGAGACTTCAAGTGACACTCTTCTCGATTTAAACTTTAGCTGGGAGCGGGAAATTGATGAAGGCTGCAACTTTGATCTTGGAGAAGAATGATCATCTACAACAATGGGAGAAGAGCCGGGAGTAGTGGTCCCACTCCCACCTAGTATTGACGATGATACTCTACATAAACTCATATAAGACCCAAACATTGAAATTGCAGGACTTTCTAAGTTTAATGAGAAGTCGTTTGGAGACTCTAACTTTGAGCAAGAGGATATGAGGAGGGAGATTGAGAAATTCATCAATTCCAAGGAAGATTGCAATAAAGAATGATGTCTTTCATGAAGTTCGAAACCAATAAAAAATTGCAAAATCTTTATGGAGATACATAATGGATTCAGTCGAGACTACTTTTGACTCCTTGAAATGGATTCCTTTACAACATTTCTAGAGAGCTATGAGACCGTAAAAACAAAAAATACAAGTTCTTCCTTGAATTATTACCTCTACAGCAACCACAAAGCCATATCTATGTATGAGGTAAAAGGTGGAAAGAAGAGTCTAAGGTTGCATCTTCTTCATGGCCTATCATCAACCCAAAACATAAAGAAGGGTGGCATTCAACTGGCATATGCACTTCTAACGATAAACTTGAAAGAAGTCTTGAGTTGGGAGATTGATGAGTTGGGAATTACACCTAACTCAAAGGTGTAAAAGAGAAGGCGCTTCATGGGAGGCAACCCATGTCTGGCATCAAACTTAAGGGTGTAAAAGAAAAGTGCTATCGAAGAGACTGTCCGGATTTCTAAACCACCATCATTTGCATCACAAGCTTCTCTCTTTAGACATCCTCTTGATCAAGGTAAGAACCCCAATACTCTTAGATATGATCTAGGAATCATTTATTGCATTTTGAATCGAAATTTAATATTTCTACTTGTATCAAAAAGCATTCAAATGCATAAAGTGTGAGGTAGACCTAAATGATGAATTAACAGTTAAAGAGATGTCTCTATAGAATTATTTTGAAACAAATCGATGATTTTTTTCTTTTTATTTTCATATTTATATTGAGGAGGACAAGCATTTGCTCTCTCTCTAAGTTTTGTTGCTTTTACAATTTTCGTTTTGTTTTGAAATCCATGGAGAAATAAAAGGAAATATGGAGAAGTGGAGCATGACAACCCATTAATGTCCATAAATATTTCATCTAGTGTATCCTGCAAGAGAAAGTAGAACAAATCTGAAAAGGAGAAGGAAAGAATCCTTTCAGAAGTCCATTTTCTGCATGGTGAATGAAAAAAATTAGCGACGTGCAAGGAAATGACCTATGGCGATCGAACCCGCCACGCCACCATCGGTGTCCACGTTCCCACTCGAATAAGGGGATAATACCATCCATTTCTCCCAAGGAAAAGGATGGTGGTGGGGCCACCGCGACGTCTCCTCACGCTCTCCTATAAAAGGGAGGCAACCCTTCTTCCTTTTCCTCACATCCACTCACGAAATTCAGAGCAAGATTTGGTGATACAACTGGTTGCATTGGGTGTGTCTGTGAATTGTCTTAGTCTCTTACAAATTATCAGAGGGTCAGAAAGTCATTCTCTTTCTGGTTTTCATCCATTATGATGTATAAGTTTTATCTAAATTTGGTATTCATATGTTGTTGTCTACACTATACAAGAATAAATTGAACAAATATAGTATAAAAACAATAATGAGATTTATTTTTGAATGAGTTCAAAAGGGAGGAATGCTTGACTCTTGATTGGTTATGCAAATTATGAGTATATAATATATTATATATATGCCTTATGTTTAATTGGTTTGATTGGGTAGATGTGTATGAAACCAAATCAAACCATTTAAATCAACAAAATAAAAGTTTTACTAAACTTACCAATTATCCAAATTAACCAAACAAAATTACCCGGATACTACCGATTAAAATGGTTACCACAATCAAATCAGTCAAAAACTCAAAATCAGGATTTAAATATTAAAATTTTATGATTTTACTTACATGTTCCAATCCTGATTTCACGATTCACGATTTAAATCATTAAAATCTTTGGATCAAATTTACTTATTTCCCCCAAAATTTACAAAATCACGTATCTTTTCCTTCTCTCACACTAACCACCATCGCCCATCGTCAATTCACATCAACGTATTAATCATCATCGATTCACCGCTTTCCAACATTAACTATGATAAATTGAAAATTAACCTTGAGAATTGTAAGTATTATGTGTTTTTGTGTCAGTCATAATCTTTCTAATTAATATTATTCCATTTTCGTTTTTATATTAACATTAAAATCCTACAATTTATGATTCCGCTTTTACCCCATTTTTAATTTTTACGTAAAATCTCAATTTTTACGGCTATAAGTTTATAACCAAAATTTCACTCCCGTGTTCGATAAAAGCAAGACTACAAAAAAGAAAAAGGAAAGGAAAGCATACTGCAACAACTTAATTGTAAAAGCAAAAGCTGATTACCAAAGCAACCACATCAAATCAAATATAAAAACATTGTGATACTGCCTCCCCGTAGACCAAAAAAGCAAGCTAACGAGAGAGAGAAAAAGCAGCAATGGATTCCTCCACAGTCTCGGTCTCAGTCTCCATGTGAATCAATAAAGCGGCAGCAGCAGCAGCTGATCACAACCTGCCCTTTCTTCTTCTTCTTCCCCACGTCCGAAGCAAAGCATCAAATCGATCAGCAATGGAAACTCCACCACCTTCTTCCACCTTCCTCCTCCTTTTATCCATCCTTCTCATCGCTCCGCCGCTCACCTCCGCCGCCGGCGGCCCCGGCCCCAGCTGCCGCTCCTTCTGCGGCAACATCACCGTCGACTACCCGTTCGCCCTCCACGACGGCTGCGGCCACCCGGGTTTCCGCGACCTCCTCTTCTGCATCAACTCCGTCCTCATGTTCCACATCGCCTCGGGCTCCTACCGCGTCCTCGACATCGACTACCCTTACCGCTCCCTCACCCTCCACGACCCGCACCTCTCCACCTGCGACGACGTCGTTTTGTCCCCCACCCCGTTGGCGAACGGCTTCGTCCTCGACCCGTCTCGCTCACCGTATTTCTCCCCTTCACCGGACAATGTTTTCATGCTCATCGGCTGCTCCCCTACCTCCCCTCTCTTCCAGGTATTATACTACACGCACTACTAATTAGATGCACTGTAAAATAGACTGTCTGTTATGTGTAATTGTTTATGAGACATTAGCTAAAAGTTAAAACAAAACAATCTCAACAATCTAAATTAAAAGATTAGATATAGGGGTGGGCACGTGGGTGGTTAATCCGCGAATTGATATTGATCCACCCGTAAATAACCCGACCCGCACGCAGTATGTGATTGATGTGGGTGGATTGCGGATTGATAAATTTCCCACCCGCACTTATGTGGGTGGGTGGGTGGGTGGATTGCGGGTCACCCGTATGATCTGCATCCTATTTTTACATGAAAAAATTTCGTTTCTTATAGTATCGAATATTCATCATATTTTTGGAACTCTACAACAATCTGACCATATACTTCAAAAGGTAGAGAACAAAGAATTGTTTTGACTACTATTATTGATTATTTAATTGTGCAATATTAATTAGATATTGGATATTTGTATGCAACTTTTTGTTAATATACATATTAAATATTGGGATGCAAAGTATAAATTATTAATTGTATAAAAATCACAAATTATTGATACAATCTTACTAATTTGCTATGAACTCTTTATAAATGTTAGTCAACTTTCTTAATAGCTAGTTTGAGAATTGGCTTTTGCGGATGAGTGTGGATTGACCCAACCGCACCCATCCGCCACCCACCCAACCCAACCCACAAAAGTATATGGGTGGATTGCATGTCACAATTATTCCAACTCGTTAGTAAGCGGGTGGGTCAATTTAAGACCTAAATTCACCCAACCCACCCGCCCATTGCCCACCCCTAATTAGATATAACAATCACTCATATCACAAACAATCCATTTATTGTGTCTGCTAAAAAAATTATTTAAAAAAAATGATGCATTCTAAACAATACAATTTTAATTTTAATTTCATAAAAACAATTGCAAGTTCGAAACGACTACTTAGTATATGTCAATGTGTCATTCAAGATAGTTGAGAATGATTAATATAATACAAGTACATGTTAAAAACCAATTGGTTCACGCCGGATAAAACAAAAAACTACTTATATAAATCTGAACTTTTCACATATATCAAACACGGTTTCTCTACCAATATATCATGTACCACATACTAACTTTACTTGTTCTTATTATATACGATCATATCTATTTTTTTTTTTATTATCCATGCTCAGTGATGTAATATTTCTTTTCTTGTTTATTTAAATGTCTAAAAGTTATCAGGTAAATCATTATACAATAATATTTATACAAATAACATACCCATATGCATATGTTCTAAATATCATCAGGGGTTCCCGGGAAAGCACCTCCCCTGCCGGAACGTCTCCGGGATGGGTTGCGAGGAGTATTACGGCTGCGAGGGTTGGAGCAAGCTCGGATCCCACCGGCGGGGCTCCGAGTCCGGGTCGTACGGGTCAACCCCGCCCGAGTGCTGTGCGGTGTCGTTTGAGGCGATCAAAGCGATCAACCTGACGAGGCTGGAGTGTCAAGGTTACAGCAGCGCGTATACTCTGGCGCCGCTTCGGGTCGACGGGCCCGCGGGTTGGTCGTATGGGATCCGGGTAAAGTATTCGGTTCAAGGGAGCGAGGAGTTCTGTCGGGCCTGTGAGGCTACGGGCGGGTCGTGCGGGTTCGGGTCGGACGGGGAGAGGCAGCTTTGCATGTGCCCCGGGTTTAATTCCACTTCCAATTGCGACAAGGGAAGTATTGGTGAGTGGGCTTTGGGCCTGGGCCTCTTTGTTAGAGTTGGCCAGAGAGGCTTTTGAGATTATGGTTCAAAACTTGATTTAGTAATGTTTATTTATGCCGCTTTACTTTAAAAATTGGGTTTATTAATTATTGACCTCCAATGATATCACACAGCGGATATGTCAGCGTCGGTGAAAAGGGAAGTGGAATTGGAGTTCGTCATAGCCACGTGGGCAGGTAATTTAATTATTCTTTTTTTTGACGAATTAATTTAATTATTCACTGGTCAGTGGTCACTACTTTATTTGATACCGTAGGCTTTTATTCATTAGTCATTACACTTTGGATTCCACACTGCCTTTTGCTTCCTACGCTGCTAACAAAATATGAAATATGATTTTAAAAATAATTGATAGGATAAGTAGATTTATGGATTGAATTAAATGATTGGATTAAATGGATTGAATTGTGGATTTATGAATCCAAGTGACATCTAAATTTTGGATCATTATGCAAAAATTAGATACTAAAATGTCATTATAAAAATTTTATGTATCAAAATTTAATTCTTCAATGATATTCTTCTTTATGAAATTAAATTTTAGGTATCAAAATGTAACAATTAAAAAAATATAGGTACTAAAATGTAATTTTCAACGATCAATTAATCTAATACATGAAACCACCAATTCAAGTGGATTTGAGTTAATCGGATTGGATTAATTGTATATTTAAGCTGGGGGAGGTTAACTTACTTTGTTGTCTAGTATTATATAGCATATGTTTGGTCCAGCTTTTTAATATAAAAGAAATCTAACAATATACATTTTGATTGCTTTTTATTGTTTAGAATTTTTATTTATATTTTTTATTGTAAATGTTTTTAGTCATTTTACATAAATTTTTATATTAAAAAAAACTTTAATAATTTTTCATCCAAACACTCAATTTATTTTTTTAAAATTATTTTTTTCTAAAAGCTCCAATAAGAAACTGCTTCTGTCAAAAGTAACTAGAGTGGAGCCAAAAACTAGCCCATAGTGTGTTTTTGTCAGATAATTGTTTGAATTAGTATATTCGAAACACCTAAAGAAAATACATGTGGATTTTTATTTTGCTAGAGTACATTGTTTCTAATAAGTGCATACTCTATGTAATTGAGATTGAATTAGTCTAGTGTGTTTGAATAAAAAAGATACACGTGGAATTCAATCTTTTAGGGTGCATTTGTTCAAATCAGTGTATACTCTATATAATTGAGATTATACACAATATTCTCATGTATTTGGGATGAGTTGCGTGTATTTTGATGCAATTCAAATGCGTAGATTATATCCCTAAACAATGATAAATTTATTCAATGACGACCTATGATAAATATTTATGTTTTCCATGTTATGTCATGAAAGGCAATGAAAGATCCTTTACTGAATCATCATTTTTTTTTGGGCCTTTGCGTGAATGTGAACCTTCGCAGGACTGTTGCTGCTCGTGTTAGCATGGATGGCCTAGAAAGAGATTCTTTCACTTGGATCTTGAAAAAAGACCAATCGATTGTCACTTGTAAATCCTGTTATAAAACTAATGGAAATGTAAGCAACTACAAGAGAGGATTGGAGGAGGAAAGACACAAAAGAAGTGAGGGGAATAGTCCTTCTTATTCATACTCATTTGTGATACAATAGTGTGCTCTATTTATAGGCACCCTTTGGTAACCACTACACCCTTACATCAATGCATATAAATTAGAGATAATAATATAGGAATGGGAGTTACATGTAACTCCCAAGTGAGCATCTAATGTGGTAGGCCATTGGTCATCCAAATATTAATATTTACATAATACTCCCCCTTGGATGACCACTAGATTGCATTATTACGCTATCTCATGCTGCCTCATTAAAAACCTTACCAGGAAAACCCAGTGGGAAAAACCATGGTTAAGGGAAAAAGAGTGCAGCGCGTATATGCTCCCCCTCATGACCACATCAGCTCAAGTCTTTGAGTCGTCGAACTCCAATTTCACGAACAAGCTTTACAAAGATTGTCGTCGGGAGTGACTTGGTGAATAAATCTGCTAGATTCTCACTTGAACGAACTTTTTGAACAATTATTTCACCACTCTTTTGAAGATCATGAGTGAAAAAGAACTTGGGTGGAATATGTTTTGTTCTATCTCCTTTAATATATCCTTCCTTTAATTGAGCAATGCATGCTGCATTATCTTCATACATGATCGTCGGGATCATTTTTCCTAGAGATAGTCCACACGATTCTCTGATGTGTCGAATTATAGATCTTAACCAAACACATTCACGACTTGCCTCGTGAATTGCTAGGATTTCAGCATGATTGGATGATGTGGCTGTTATAGTTTGTTTTGTGGATCGCCACGAAATAGCTGTACCACCACAAGTGAACAAATATCCTGTCTGAGATCTACCATTGTGGGGATCTGAGAGATATCCTGCATCTGCATATCCCACTAAATCCATCTTCGATGCACTCGAATAGAACAAGCCCATATCTGTCGTTCCTCGAAGGTAACGGAGTAAATGTTTAACTCCATTCCAATGTCTTTTAGTGGGAGAAGAGCTATATCTTGCCAATATATTCACAGCAAACGATATATCGGGTCGTGTGTGACTGGCTAGATACATTAATGCTCCTATTGCACTAATATATGGCACTTCAGGGCCAAGCAGATCTTCATCACTTTCTCGAGGTCTAAATGGATCTCTTTTCACATCAAGTGATCTTACAACCATTGGATTACTCAACGGGTGTGATTTGTCCATATAAAATCGCTTAAGCACCTTTTCAACATATCCTTCTTGATGCACAAAAATACCATCCTTCAAATGTTCAATCTGTAATCCAAGACAAAACTTTGTTCTTCCTAAATCTTTCATTTCAAACTCTTTCTTCAAGCAATCAACTGCTTTTGGAAGCTCTTCGGGAGTTCCAATGATGTTTATGTCATCAACATAAACTGATATTATAACAAACTCACTACCCGATCTCTTTAGAAAAACACATGGACAAATAGGGTCATTCGTGTATCCTTCTTTCACCAAATATTCACTGAGACGATTGTACCACATTCGTCCAGATTGTTTCAATCCATACAAGGATTTGTTCAATTTGATAGAAAAATTTTCTCGAGAATGTGTTTTGTTCGCTTCTGGCAAAGTGAATCCTTCAGGGAGTTTCATATATATATATATCATTCTCAAGTGATCCATACAAATAGGCTGTCACAACATCCATTAGACGCAGATCTAGTCCTTCTCGAACTGCTAGACTAATCAAGTATCGAAACGTAGTTGCATCCACCACAGGGGAGTATGTCTCCTCATAATCAATGCCAGGTCTCTGTGAGAATCCTTGTGCGACAAGACGTGCTTTATATCTCACGACTTCACTCTTTTCATTTCTTTTCCGCACAAAAACCCATTTGTATCCCACTGGCTTTACGTTTTCTGGTGTAAGGACTACCGGTCCAAAAACCTTTCGCTTTGAAAGCGAGTTTAATTCTGCCTCAATGGCCTCTTTCCACTTTGGCCAATCATCTCTTGACTTGCATTCATCAATAGATCTTGGTTCATGATCCTCATTTTCATTCATCACACTCAACGCTGCAGCGTAAGCAAAAACATCGTCGACGATTATTTTACTTCGGTTCCAACATTTTCCATCCAAGACATAATTGATTGAGATCTCTTCATTATCAAAACTTTCAGGTACCTGATGTTCTTCGGGAACTACAATCTTAGTTATGCTCGGGGACTTTTCTTGACCTTTCATATCCTCGATTTGACCAACTTGATTCATGGCTCCTTTTCTTTTTCGAGGATTTTTATCCTTGGAACCTACTGGTCTACCACGCTTCATTCGTGGTTTAGATTCATTTGCAATTTCAGATTGTCCAACAGGGACATCAACTTTCACTGGAGCATTTACAGCTGGTATGTCTGACTTTGTCACTCTCTTCTGGTCAGTAAAAGAATCCGGCAGTTGGTTTGCTAAACCTTGTAAATGAATTATCTTTTGAACTTCCAGTTCACATTGTCTAGTACGAGGATCAAGGTGAGATAATGATAATTCATTCCAACAAATATCTTTTCCCAGCTGTTTGCTCTCACCCCCTAATGTTGGAAAAACTGATTCGTCAAAATGACAATCAGCAAAACGAGTTGTGAATAAATCTCCCGTCAAGGGTTCTAAGTATTTTATGATTGACGGGGACTCATATCCAACATAAATTCCCAACCTCCTTTGAGGACCCATCTTAACACGCTGTGGTGGAACAATAGGGATGTAGACGGCACACCCAAATATTTTTAGATGGGAAATATTAGGTTCCTGACCAAAAACCATTTGCAAGGGGGAAATTTCATGATAACTTGTTGGCCTTATGCGAATTAATGTTGCCGCATGCAATATAGCATGTCCCCAACAAGAAATTGGCAAGCTTGTTTTCATAAGCAATGGTCTTGCAATAAGTTGCAAACGCTTAATAAATGATTCTGCAAGGCCATTTTGTGTATGAACATGTGCTACAGGATGTTCAACATCAATGCCAGTGGACATACAATAGTCATTGAAAGTTTGTGAAGTAAATTCACCAGCATTATCTAGACGTATTTTCTTGATTGGAAAATCAGGAAAATGTGCTCATAGTCGTATCAATTGGGCAAGTAATCTAGCAAACGCCAGGTTGCGAGTTGATAGTAAGCACACATGTGACCATCTAGTTGATGCATCAACTAAAACCATAAAATATCTAAATGGTCCACATGGTGGGTGAATTGGCCCGCATATATCACCCTGTATACGTTCTAAAAATGTGAGAGATTCACTCCTTACTTTCACAGGTGATGGCCGTATAATCAACTTGCCACGAGAACATGCAACACATGGTACATCTTTAAACTGATAAATTTTGTGACCTTTCAATGGATGTCCACATGTATTGGCAATGATTTTTCGCATCATAATCAATCCGGGATGGCCTAACCGGTCATGCCAAACTATAAAATTATCAAGATTTGTAAACTTCTGGTTTACCACTGCATGTGTTTCAATTGTACTAATAAACGTGTAGTACAACCCAGAAGAAATAGCAGGCAATTTCTCCAATATGTGTTTTTTTATCGGAGACCATATTTGTTATCATAATATACTCTTTATTCTCTTCTTCCTTTGTCTCAATATGATATCCATTTCGGCGAATATCTTTGTAACTCAATAAATTTCTTTGAGACTTTGAAGAGTATAAGGCTTCATTGATATACAACTTGGTCCCTTCTGGTAACAATACACTAGCTCTTCCGGAGCCTTTAATTAGATTTGTACTTCCAGATATAGTACTAACATTTGCTTCTCGCATTTCAAGATGAGAAAAATATTTCTTATCCTTCAAGATTGTATGTGTCGATGCACTATCAATAAGACACACATCATGGTTTTTTATCTTGGTGCCAAGCATGGGAATATTCATTCTTCACAAAAGATAGAAAGTAAATCAATATAAGAAAATATCTCCAAACAAATATAAAAATAATAACATGATTATAATAGATGAAATTTAACCACATAAGGATTATAAAGAGAAATTATATTAAACTGACACATTAATAGGAAAAACACACTCAAGGAAAACGACAAAGAAAGTGAAATTTCAAATGGGAAACCCAAACTTTTCACTTGTGAACAAAGCGACAACGAAATAGAAATTTCAAATGGAAATGCTAAATTTTTCACTTGCGAACATTCCCATCACCAATCAGGTGATCTATTTTTCCTTCAGGGTGGGCAAAGAAGTCGGACACATCTAGATGAGTAGCATCATTATAGTCTTTTCCTGAATCATCTTCCTCAAAAATACAATTGGTTTCTATCTTCTTCCCTTTCAATGATTCTTGGTAGAGGTTAACCAAGTGTTTTGGCGTACGACAGGTACGAGACCAATGACCTTTTCCACCACAACGGTAACACACATTTTCGACGTGTTTGTTACCATGAACACTTTGTTCCTTGCTTCTCCTACCATCATTTTTTCCACTTCTGGGGAAAAATGAGCTTTTGGAACTTTCACCACGACCATTACCACGACCAAGATCTCGGCCACGGCCACGACCTCGAGCATGACCACGCCCACGTCCTCGTCCTCGTCCATGTCCACGTCCATGTATTTGCCCATAAGGATATTGGGTGAACGTCGCCGCATTCGCTTCTGGGAATGGGGCGGCACCAGTAGGACGAGATTGGTAATTTTTCATTAGGAGCTCATTATTTTGTTCAGCAACAAGGAGACAAGAAATCAGCTCAGAATATTTCTTGAAACCTTTCTCACGGTATTGCTGCTGCAGGAGCACATTGGATGCATGAAAAGTGGAGAATGTTTTTTCCAACATATCTTCATCAGTAATATTTTCTCCACATAACAGTAGTTGTGAGGTTATTTTGAATAGCTCCGAATTATAATCACTCACAGATTTAAAATCTTGTAACCTCAAATGCATCCAATCATAACGAGCCTTAGGAAGAATCACAGTCTTTTGGTGGTCATACCGCTCCTTCAAATTAGTCCACAAAATAAGTGGATCTTTGACCGTAAGATACTCATTCTTCAATCCCTCGTGGAGGTGATGTCGAAGAAAGATCATTGCTTTAGCTTTGTCTTGATCTGATGCTTCATTGCCCTCTTTAATCGTGTCTCCAAGACCGTTGGCAGCTAAATGAATTTCAGCATCTAGCACCCATGATAGGTAATTCTTTCCAGTGACATCAAGAGCCACAAACTCAAGCTTTGAAAGGTTCGACATACTATCATAAAAAATACACACAAATTAAAGTCAAAATTCAATAAATAAATATAGATTACTATCAAGACAAACGACTTATGTGACCCATGATATATCAATTTGATATTTTTACAAATATATAAATAAATTCGAATTTCAAAATAAATAAAAAATATTAAGAAGGAAATTATACCTTTGCATTCTCAAACAAAGATTTCATGTGTTGATTAATAAATGAAATTATGTAAATTGAAATAGGACAATAAAAGAAACAATTTGGGAGAATTGACATACCTTGAGCAGAACAATTGTGAATTTAACCTTTTCAAAAGGAAGAGCGTCGTGCTGATAACGTGTTATAAAACTAATGGAAATGTAAGCAACTACAAGAGAGGATTGGAGGAGGAAAGACACAAAAGAAGTGAGGGGAATAGTCCTTCTTATTCATACTCATTTGTGATACAATAGTGTGCTCTATTTATAGGCACCCTTTGGTAACCACTACACCCTTACATCAATGCATATAAATTAGAGATAATAATATAGGAATGGGAGTTACATGTAACTCCCAAGTGAGCATCTAATGTGGTAGGCCATTGGTCATCCAAATATTAATATTTACATAATAAATCCCAATTTGATTCACAATTAAATTTGGATAATGTATCACCAACATCTGATTAATAAGAAACTTCAGGTTTTTTTTATTGAAAAGTCTTCCATATATTTACTTACCCATGCAATTTTCTTTCATTACTATTTGGGCCCATCCCTATGTGTCTTTTTTTCAAATTTGACCCAATGATGTATCATGTTGTGCATCCATCGCTAATTATCACAATTATTAAACATAAAAAACTACTTCAATAAGAATGGAAATGGGGCATATGTCTAGGGCGGGTTTCTTGGTACCCAAACCCATTACGTGGCAGGTCGGGTTTAGATCGGGTAATTTATCATGGGTCGCAAGTCGGGGCAGGTCAACCTAATGGATATGCAATTTATATGAAAAACATTAGAAATATTCGTTAATTTTATTATAAGACCAAGAAAGCAGACAATATTATGATAAATGTAGTTAAATTATTAGAGAAATTAAGGTTTTCACTAATTTACAATTTTATTATAGCTAAATTATGATGTAAAAAGAAAAATCCTAAGTAATTTGACTAAGATTACATGTAATTTAGGCAAGAACGGGACGAGAATGGGGCGAGTCAGGACATATCGAGTCAATGAGAGTACCCATGCCCGCCCCGCCTACGGGACAGGTCGGACCCACCCCAAACAGATCGAATAAAACGGGTCAGGTCGAAATTGTCTATCTTTTCGATACCTTCTTTCTCGGGTCTTCACCTTGCTAACATTCTACAAATTACTTTTCCCCTTTTCCGTTCAGTATTATACTACACTTCAGATTTCCTTTTCCGATATGGAAACAAAATCCTTCTATCCAACTGACTCTTCAATTCTCTATATAAACAGCCCAGGGCCTTGCTTTGCCCATTCATAAACCCCATCCGATTGCTAATTGCTCGCTTCTCGCAGCACAGAAATCATACCTTAGAGGAATTGCGAAAATGTCGACGGTCGCGGCGGAGGAGAAGAAGTTGATCACCTTGAGGAGCAGCGACGGCGAGTCGTTCGAAGTGGAGGAGGCGGTGGCGATGCAGTCCCAGACGATCAAGCACATGATCGAGGACGACTGCGCCGACAACGGCATCCCTCTCCCCAACGTCACCGGCAAGATCCTCGCCATGGTGATCGAGTACTGCAAGAAGCACCACGGGTCTCCTGACGGCACCACCGCCAATGCCGCCGGCGCGGACGACGGCCTGAAGACTTGGGACGCGGATTTCGTGAAGGTCGATCAGGAGACGCTCTTCGACCTAATTCTGGCGGCCAATTACCTGAACATCAAGGATCTGCTGGATCTTACCTGCCAGACCGTGGCTGACATGATCAAGGACAGGACTCCGGAGGAGATAAGGAAGCTTTTCAACATCGCCAACGACTTTACCCTGGAGGAAGAAGAAGAGGTTCGCAGGGAGAACCAGTGGGCTTTTGAGTGAAAAAAAATGTCGTATTGGGTCAACAAAATTTCAAGCCATGATAGTTAGAGGCAGTTTAGTTTTTCTTGAGAGTGGTGGTAGTATTAGATGTTTAGTAGTTAGTTTGACTACTGCGTGTGAAACAATTACTTAAACTGAGGAATGCTTATATGAAGTTTATTTATATTTGCCGGAGGCGTCGAGATGCAAAAAGAAATGTGTGATTGCATATGCTTAACGATATGATCAGGAAACTTACTCCCACTAGATCTTGAATGAGAATGTGGTGAAGGTTGGGAGTGAGCTCGCTATAATTCAAATATTTTTTTATAAATGAGATTGTACTTCGAAAGTCAACTCACAAATGATTTCCTTTATGATATGTGTAAATCAAGTCAATCACAGCCGCTTGAGATAATTTTCAACGAATAGCTCCAAACATAGTAAATAATTAAGTCATATGATAATTGTCTTCTTCCGGTGGGGAAATACCTACCCTCCATTTCCATTAAACCCAATTTTTGATATTTTTTACCCACGATCTGATCGTGGACACAAGAGTGAAAAACTCACACATTTTCCTCTTTTTTTGCCCTCTTATCGGAGATGGTCTAAACAAAGAGCGAATGCCGACCCTTCTGTTGCGTGTATTCACGGTAAGTTGTAGCCCCCAAAATTATCGTTTCGTTAGAATGCTACTCCATCATTTATGGATTTTTGCGTTGCCCCTGAACATTACATAAATGTATTTTTTAGTAAAAGATAAAATTGTCATGGACATTTTTAGTAAAAGGTTCGGGATGTTACAAAAATCGTGAGGGTCAAGGTCCAAAGCGGACAATATCTTCGTCGGGAAAAGGTTCGGGATGTTACAGTTTCCACGAAAACCTTTTTACCCCAGTTTGCGACTACTAGTAAACTATATATACACAACTATGATGTTCCCAATCACATTATTGCAATCAGGGGCGGACCCATGTGGTAGAGAGGTGTGTCAAGCGACACACCTCCGCACGAATATTTTGTGAGAGACCCATGTTTTGTCGGTATAATTTTTTGGAATTTAGGACTTTCGACACACCTTGAATAATTGTTATCGACACACCTTTAATACACTACGATGAAATTAGTGTCATATAGTTCCCAAAATCCGTAAATATATGTTATTTATTTTAAATTTTAGTTAACTTATGACAAATTTGGGTTCTTTCCATTGCTTAAGCATTTAGATGCAAGGGTTTATTGCTTTTAGGTCTTAGGCACGGGTAATCGTAAGGAAGTTGTCTCTTTTTTCTCTCTACCTGATAAGTTTCGTTTCTTCTTGATCCTTGTAGGTTTCAAATAGTTGTCCACCTAGTGACAAAAATGCTCTTTCATCGGGAGTCTGGTTGCATATGGACTACTATCTTATAAAAAAAACTCCAATGTTCCCTTTGCCTCTTTCGATTCCACTTCTCGTTGTGTTACACAGTAAAATATAATTACAATTTATTTATTATTTTATTTAATTTTATCGACTGACACACCTTTACGAGAATCCTGGGTCCGTCACTGATTGTAATGTGGTTCTAGCCTTGAGACACCACCATGCTTGTTTCATTCATGGAACCAGAAGCCGAGGTTGAGGTTGGCTTGTCCTCTGTTTTGCACCTGTGGCCAGGCTATGTCTTGTCAAGATTATGAACCGTTGCCCCACTCAACATCAGCTAAGCAAAAAAAAAAAACAATGACATGTGAGAATAAATTACGAAGAAGAAGAAGAAATCATAAGAAATACGATCCAGTTGTTAGAAGTTACCTAATTAAGATTCCGTTCACCATAAAACGGGGGCGTCGGTGGAATGACAGCCTGCTGCTGAAGTTCGGCCAAAACCCATGAATGGAAAACTCAGTCGGATAGGGGTTGTAGCATGGTGGCCCAACACAAAGTATTCAGAAGCAACTGAATCTAAATTATGGAGATAGAACAGAAGGAGAACAGCCAGTAAAAATGACTTCATCATGCTCATTTGGTTAGTAATATGATTGTGCGTAACCGAAAGTAGTTACTGTTGTCATTTATATACAAGAAGGGTAAGTATGCCATGCGGAATTGTGTTAGTCAGCACAAATGCCATACGTGTGATGCTCGAAACTGATTCGCGTCGAAACAACTGAAGTTAATCAGCAAGTAGAGGGATCAATCTAGCATATAAATATTGGTGTCGATTAGGCCGGATTTGCTGTAGTTGCATGCTCAACCAGTATATATCATATGGTATTGACTGGTATTAAATAAGAGCATACCATATAGTATGAAAAAGCTTACCATGGTGGTATGAACATACCATGACTGTAGGATGATTGAATACATGATATTAGTGTATGGAAGTTGTGATTCTTCAAATTGATGTATTGAGACAATTAGTGTATTATCATTTGATGGATTGAATCAATTGATATATTAGGTAAATATCTTGTTTGGAGGTTTAGATTGTGTTTTTGTTCCAAAGGTAAAAAAAGTTAGTATTGAGTGATTGTGAAGAATCTCAACAAAAAGTAGAGATTATAAATCCCTCAATATTGAGGGATTGTGGTGGGACCTCCAAAAAGTAAATGCATGTATTCTAGTTCTATATAAACAAAAAAAAACTACTTAATCTCACAAATACATGAATTAGATCAATACACCATTTGAAATCACAACTTCCAAACGACCCCTAAGAGTATACTATTGTCATTTACGACTTTCAAAATTGTGTACCAAAAGATACCACCCCGTACCAGGGTGGTATTGTGTGGTATTTTTCGGTCCTGTATTTTTATTCACCTAAAAATTTGTAGATCCAATAGATCATGGTGAACTCGTTCCTTCTGTGCAAATTTTTTCAAAAACGACTTAAAACGAAAAAGATACCTTATGGTATGCAATTGATAATGAGAGACAAGGAATTTTTTTCTCAAAAAATATTGAAAATTGATCTCATTTTGTAGAGCACAACGAAAATAAAAAAAATTGAAATACAAGTTAAAACAAATAAGATATGAGCCAATTAAAAAAATAAATGAAAATAAAAATGCTTTTAATTTTTTACTGTTAGATCTTCATTTTCTAGACTCACTTAAATATAATGGCTGAGATTTATAATGGCTGAGATTTAATTACTCGGGATGAGTAACCATGGGGTTACTGACGGGAACTTAAGCCCAAACTAACATTGCAAGGTATATGTATTGTATAGACGAATCCTAACTATTAATTATGAACAATCATAAACTACTAACTGAATCCTACCACGAAACAAATAAAGACTAATACGAATTAATTATATTAATTATTAAGAACAATAATCATTGCAATAACTCTTTAATATGTTATAATGCATCAATCCTCCTCCTTCAATGAACCTTGATCGTGATGTTCAGTGTCATAAACCAGTTGCTTCCAATAACTCGAGGTGTTGGGAGAAGGTTATGTTGGATCTTATACACGCCCATGTATGGTATCTTAACCACTTCCTTACACGCCCCCTCAAACGAAAGCCGACTCATGGGCTTGAAGTTTGTATAGGCCTGCCATACCATGTGCTTGAAGACAACGGTTAATATTGGGGGTCGTGAGGACCCGAACACGTGACCTCATGGACAAACCAGTTCTGATACCATGTCATAAACCAGTTGGTCCCAATAACTCGAGTTGTTGGGAGAATGTTATGTTGGATCTTATACAGACCCACATATGATATTTAACCACTTCCTTACATTCAGTTAACTATTAGTCGATCAGGTTCTAAATCTTTTCAACTCGGACAGATAAATACAAATATCCATAAAGGATTTGTCAATTGTTGTGAGTTGTGACAACTCTGTCGAAAATTCAAGTCTCATATCATAATTCATGGCCATATCACTGTTTTGATGATCAACCATCTAAATTAATTTTATTATATTTTAACAGTATAGATTCATGCAAGTTAGTTATTTTGAAATTATATATATATATATATATTAATGATATAAATTCATACAAGTTACCTAACTTGAAATTTTACCTAAATTAATGTAGTACATCCCTTAATTATAAATAGTTAAATACCACTAGCACTTAATCAATTGGGCCACTCCTATTCGCAACGGGAACCAAAAAAAAAAAAAATACAAAACTTTTATTGATAATCAGAAACATAACATCGTAATTCAGTCGATTAGTTAACACCGCGATTAACAACACTAGTAGTGCCTGCTTCTGAAGAATGATTGCATTTATCAGTGCAGTCAGTGAAACACTGATCGCTGCCCTCGCGATCGCACTTCTTCAAGCAATCGGCCAAGCACTTGTCGAAGTCCTCCTTCACGATTCCCATAACGACATGCTGCCTTCCCACCATCATCATCGCAGCCACCACCAGCAACAACTGTTGGCCCGCCTCATGTGGCTCAACAATGGCCAACGAGGCCAAGCGGTGGTAATTAAAAAAAAAAAAAAAAACAAATATTAAAGCACCGAAAATGCAGCTAGAGCTTTGATCTTCCAACTATCCCATTTATTGTGAGGCACTCTAAAATGCCTATAAAAGGCAACGAGTTTGGCCTCTGAAAATCATCCCACCATTCCATACTTCTCCAATTCATTTGTTCTGCTTCTGTTCGTATTTCTTTTGTGGGTTTTTGGTAGTGAAACGTTTTCACTACCACGGGTAGATAGGAGAATTCTTGTGAGTGAAATAGTGAGGTTGTTCCGGGAAACACCGAGTGTTCTATTTCCTTGTATCTTGAAATTCTCTGTAACCTACTGTTGCAATAGTGAAGAAATACTCTGGAGCTGTTGTTCCCGTGGGCTGGCCCTAAATCAGGGTATACCACGTAAATCCTCTGTGCCATTTATTATTGTCTATGCTTGTTGTCATTTTGAGAATAGTCGTAGTATATTGCGTTATTAAATTACCGAAGTAAATTGATCTAAGTAAGTTGGTTACCGTAATTCTGGAGGCTCTGCCACCAGGTCCAACTTACCTGTGAACTTTTTACAAGCGTGTGATTTTTTAATCCAATATATTTACCCGCTATTCTCACCCGCTGCGCCCAACAAGTGGTATCAGAGCCTCGTCCAATGGAGGCAAAAACAAGCAAGATGATAAGTCTGAATGGCTCCAACTATCACATATGGAGAAACAAGATGAAGGATCTCCTACTCGTGACGGAGTTGCATTTGCCGGTGTTTAGCCCTACTAAACCTGATGGCAAAACTGAAGAGGAATGGGAGTTCAAGCATGAGCAAGTATGTGGCTACATTCGACAGTTCGTCGACGATAATGTATACAACCACATTAGCGGAGAAACTCATGCCAGAACTCTGTGGAACAAGCTGGAGGCACTTTATGCATCAAAGACCGGCAACAACAAATTATTTTATCTGACCAAGTTGGTCCAGATGAAATACAAGGAAGGCAAATCCTTGGCGGATCACTTGAACGAAATTCAAGGGATCGTGGATCAGTTGTCCGGTATGGGCATAAAGATGGAAGATGAGGTGGTTGCTCTCCTCGTTCTGGCTTCCCTTCCAGAATCTTGGGAGACGCTAAAAATTTCACTTACCAACTCTGCGAAAGATGGAGTTATAAACATGGAGATTGTCAAAAGCGGAGTCCTGAACGAAGAGATGCGAAAAAGATCACAAGGTGCATCCGCATCATCTTCCCAGTCAGACCTTCTGACAGTGGATTCCAGAAGCAGAGGAAGAAGTGAAGCTAGAGGCTCAAAGCAAAGAGGCAAGAGTCGAGGGAAGTCCAACAAGTTTGCCAACATCCAATGTCATCACTGCAAGGAAAAGGGCCACATCAGAAGATTTTGCCCAAAGTTCAGAAATGAGAGAAAGAAGGGCAAACGAGATGAGAATAGTGATGATGATGGTGCAAACTCTGTAGATGAGTTCAATATTGTCTACGAAGAAGATGTTGTCAACCTGACAACCCAGGAGACAAGCTGGGTGGTTGATAGTGGTGCTACCATCCACGTGACGTCCAAGAGAGAATTTTTCTCATCTTACACACCAGGTGACTTTGGTGTGGTAAGAATGGGAAATGGTAATCTTTCCAAAGTTATCGGAAAAGGAGAAGTCTGCTTGGAGACGATGAATGGTACGAAGCTACTGCTGAAGGATGTCAGGCATGTTCCAGAAATGCGCCTGAATCTCATCTCTGTAGACAAGTTGGATGAGGAAGGTTACTGCAACACCTTCCACAATGGCCAGTGGAAACTCACCAGAGGCTCCTTGGTGTTGGCCAAAGGCAAGAAGCTGTCAAAGCTGTATGTGACGGAAGCCAAGATCTCCCCAGAGATTGTCAACTCAGCGGAGAATGGTGACACAATTGAATTGTGGCACAAACGGCTCGGTCACATGAGTGAGAAGTCCATGGCAAAGTTGGCCCAGAAGAAAGTCATAATTGGGTTGGATCATGTTCATCTAAAGAAGTGTGTCGATTGCCTAGCGGGAAAGCAAAACCGAGTTGCTTTCAAAAGTTCCATCCCTTCAAGAGCGAAGAACGTGTTGGATCTAGTTCACTCAGATCTCTGTGAACCCGATGTCAACGTCAAATCACTTGGAGGTGCCAGATATTTCGTGACATTCATTGATGACCATTCACGAAAGACTTGGGTGTATACCTTGAAGACCAAGGATCAGGCCCTATACGTTTTCAAGCAATTCCTGGCCCTGGTGGAGAGGGAAACTGGCAAGAAGCTGAAGTGCATCCGGACTGACAATGGTGGAGAGTACAAAGGTCCGTTTGCTACCTTCTGCAAGGAACACGGAATTAGGCAGCAATTCACACCACCAAAGACGCCGCAATTGAATGGGCTAGCTGAGAGGATGAACAGGACCCTGCTAGAGAGAGTCAGATGCTTGTTATCACACTCGAAGCTACCACAATCTTTCTGGGGGGAGGCACTGCTTGCAGCAGTTTACGTGTGGAACAGGTCACCCAATGTGCCACTGAAGTATGACGCCCCAGAGAAGGTGTGGACAGGAAAAGAAGTTTCCTACAAACATTTGCGAGTGTTTGGTTGCAAGGCCTTTGTCCATATTCCAAAGGATGAAAGGTCAAAGTTGGATTCAAAGACGCGACCGTGCGTATTCATTGGCTATGGTCAAAATGAGTTTGGCTATAGATTCTTTGACCCAATCCAGAAGAAGCTTATCAGAAGCCGTGATGCTGTGTTCATCGAAAATGAGACCATCGAAGATGTTGTTGCTAGGAAAGAAGTTCCTAGTACTGATTCTAGTCAACCAAGCCTTGGGCTAGTACCTCCAACGCCGGCGCTTACAGAAGTTGGAGAAGAAGCACAACATGATCAGCCTGAGATAGTTGAACAAGATGCTCCTGTGGAGGTTCAACCAGAAGATGCTGATGACGATGGTCAACCACCAGCCATTGAGGGTTCTCCTGTTCAAATGACGAGATTTGGTAGGGTCACACGACGCTCTACCAGATATCCTGAGACTGAATACGTGTCACTTACTGACGGGGGAGAACCAGAAAGTTTCACAGAAGCTATGAATGATGAACACAAGCAAAGGTGGATAGAAGCCATGCAAGACGAGATGGATTCCTTGTATGAGAACAAGACATTTGAGCTGGTGAAATTGCCCAAAGGCAAGAGAGCTTTGAAGAACAAGTGGGTGTTCAAGATTAAACATGATGAACACAACCGTCAGCCACGCTTCAAAGCCAGACTAGTCGTGAAAGGCTTCAGTCAAAGGAAAGGCATTGACTTTGACGAGATATTTTCACCTGTGGTGAAGATGACATCCATTCGTACTGTGTTGGGACTAGCAGCAAGTCTTAACCTGGAGGTTGAACAAATGGATGTGAAAACTGCTTTCCTTCATGGTGATTTGGAGGAAGAGATTTACATGGAGCAACCAGAAGGCTTCAAGAAGGAGAAAAAGGAGGACTATGTGTGCAGGCTCCGTAAGAGCTTGTATGGCTTAAAGCAGGCACCAAGACAGTGGTATAAGAAGTTTGAGTCTGTTATGGGGGAGCAAGGCTACATGAAGACTACTTCAGACCACTGCGTGTTCGTGAAGAAATTTCCTGATGGAGATTTCATCATACTTTTGCTCTATGTGGATGATATGCTAATTGCTGGGCAAAACGTCTCAAAGATCAATGATTTGAAGAAGGAGTTAAGCAAGTCTTTTGCCATGAAAGACTTGGGACCAGCAAAGCAAATTCTTGGCGTGAGGATCGTTCGGGATCGAGGTGCTAAGAAGATATGGTTGTCACAAGAGAAGTACATTGAGAAAGTACTTCAACGTTTCAACATGGATAATTCTAAGGCGGTTAGCTGTCCTCTTGCTAACCACTTTACATTGACATCCAAACAGAGCCCGTCTACTGAGAAGGAAAAGGCGGAGATGGATAAAATTCCATATGCTTCAGCAGTGGGAAGTTTGATGTACGCCATGGTGTGTACAAGGCCAGATATTGCTCATGCAGTTGGAGTTGTCAGTCGGTTTCTTTCCAAACCAGGAAAGGAACATTGGGAAGCTGTGAAGTGGATCCTCAGATACCTTCGAGGTAGCTCCAAAATGAGTCTATGTTTTGGAGATGGTGAACCTGTCCTTGTTGGCTATACAGATGCTGACATGGCAGGTGATGTTGATTCGAGGAGGTCCACTTCTGGGTACCTGATTACCTTATCAGGGGGAGCAATATCGTGGCAGTCAAGGCTACAAAAATGTGTAGCTCTTTCCACAACAGAAGCTGAGTACATAGCAGCAACGGAAGCGTGCAAGGAGATGATATGGATGAAGAAGTTCCTGAATGAACTTGGGTTCCTACAGGAACAACCACAGTTGTTCTGTGACAGTCAGAGTGCTATTCATCTTGCGAAGAATGCTTCATTTCATGCTCGATCAAAACATATCGATGTTCGATATCACTGGATTCGTGATGTACTTGAAATGAAGCAGCTACAACTGGAGAAGATCCATACTGACGAAAATGGATCTGACATGTGTACCAAGACTCTTCCAAGAGAAAAGTTTGAGTTCTGTCGATCAGCTGCAGGAATGATGAAGTCGCCCATGTAGTCGGGCGGGGGAGAATTGTTGGCCCGCCTCATGTGGCTCAACAATGGCCAACGAGGCCAAGCGGTGGTAATTAAAAAAAAAAAAAAACAAATATTAAAGCACCGAAAATGCAGCTAGAGCTTTGATCTTCCAACTATCCCATTTATTGTGAGGCACTCTAAAATGCCTATAAAAGGCAACGAGTTTGGCCTCTGAAAATCATCCCACCATTCCATACTTCTCCAATTCATTTGTTCTGCTTCTGTTCGTATTTCTTTTGTGGGTTTTTGGTAGTGAAACGTTTTCACTACCACGGGTAGATAGGAGAATTCTTGTGAGTGAAATAGTGAGGTTGTTCCGGGAAACACCGAGTGTTCTATTTCCTTGTATCTTGAAATTCTCTGTAACCTACTGTTGCAATAGTGAAGAAATACTCTGGAGCTGTTGTTCCCGTGGACTGGCCCTAAATCAGGGTATACCACGTAAATCCTCTGTGCCATTTATTATTGTCTATGCTTGTTGTCATTTTGAGAATAGTCGTAGTATATTGCGTTATTAAATTACCGAAGTAAATTGATCTAAGTAAGTTGGTTACCGTAATTCTGGAGGCTCTGCCACCAGGTCCAACTTACCTGTGAACTTTTTACAAGCGTGTGATTTTTTAATCCAATATATTTACCCGCTATTCTCACCCGCTGCGCCCAACAACAACAGCCATACCGAAGCAGCCAGAGACTATCTTCTGCACTCCATATCTTATCTTTTTCCCCCACAAGAATTGGAAAATACTTTTAGTTGTGAGTACTCTATTTACATTCTTCTTCTTCTTCTTCTTCTTCTTCTTTTATACTGAAGAAAATGGTCGCCGGTATGCGTTTAGTGCGAGCGATGTACATATGGAAATCGTAAGTTACAGGTCGAAGAATCGTCTCCGTAAGGAAATTGCAATCTCGAGAATGTGAAACAAAAAGTTTGAATCTGACCATTTTACATTTTCAATTATAGTAGCAAATTTTCTCGAATCTTATCGTTAAAAATCCTCTATTCTTATGGAAGGCACGATTCCGGTCATAAAACCTTTACCATTTCGGCTTTAGCTACGATTCTGCCATACAAAGGCATGGAATTAATAGCTCAGCTGTAGAATCGTTAACCACACGATGTTGTTGGTTCCCACCTTGAGCTGGCCCGTAAAGTCAACATTGTGGTTCGAAACGTCGTGCCACATGGCCTTGATGCGAAGTTGTCCTATCCCCAAACTAGTTTGGGCAAAACGACGTTGTTGTTTTCCTCCACAACATCGCGAATTTGTAAGATCGCTTAGCTCGCGATGTCGTTTAGATTTGCATCATACAATCTCATGATGCCACTGATCTGGCGTCACCGTTGAGTTATGCAGTTTTGAGCTTGTGCAATTTCAAACCCGCAAGCCGCGAGTTACTCGCGACATCACTTAGCTTCATGGCGTTGTCGAACTAGCGACATTGCCAACCTCGCGGCATCGTTGAGATCGTCGTCGATGTTACCTACCGCGGTGTCATTGAGCTCTCAAATTCACAATTTGAATTCGCGACACGTTCATCTTTGTGGCATTGTCAAACTCGCAACGCCGTCGATCTCGCGACATCGTCAAACTCGCATCGCCACTGATCTCTCTACATCGCTTACAACCGCAGTATTGTTTATCTCGCGGCACCGATGACTCACGCCGCCACCAAATTATTTTAGGTGTAAACAAAAATACAAAATATCTAGATGACTCAATCCCCCTTAAATTACTACTATTTTTCCTAATTAAAAAAGACATTTGACAAAAAAATACCTTATAGTTCACGAGAGTCCCCATAAAATGGTTAAGTGATTGGTTAGAAATGTGTTCGTACTTATAACTTGGTCACTTGAAATGTAAAGAATATTTTTGAAATATGCTACTATTAGGGCTGGAAGTTTGGTACCGGTATTTGGGATATACCGAATACTGTACCGAATTTGTCTATATTTGGTATTACCGAATACACGTATTATTTCTTGGGATTGTGATTGAATTTCAATTGTTATTCGGTATTAGGAATTACGGGATTGGGATCGGTATATACCGAAATACCGATCAATACCGAAATATAAGCTAGTGTATATTTTATCCTCTCAACTAGAGTCTCTCATTCACTACTACATGACCCTCAACCACTAAGAGTGTCATTTAATTATACACAGATCATTCCATCACTATTAATAGTCGTCTCTCAACGTTCAATTCGTCAAATTAAAGATTACCAATGACAAGAACTTGAGATGTCTCCTCTCCTCCATTCTCCTTAATAATATACTAATTCAAAACTCTTTGCTTGGTCCATTTCCCCTAAATTAAACAATAAAATCTAATTGATATATTTAATTATTAATTGCAAAGGTAATTAATTTCATATTCGATAATACCGATTGGGATACCGAAGTACCGATAGGGATACCAAAATATTTAGGGATTGGGATACCGAAATTATTTTGGGATTGGGATTGGGATTGACTTTAGGGTGTAATTCGGTATTCGGGATTTCGATATTTAGTATTGGGATACCGATACCGTACCGATTTCCACCCCTAGCTACTATGGTGTGCAATGTCCATCGATATTGGGATGAAAATTATAAACGGTTAATCGTATCAAATTTTCCCCCACACAATTAATTGATGGTGTAGTGAAAGATTTGATGGGTAATTATCATAAATGGTCATAAAACTATTCTCTTTGTACAAAACGGTCACAAATCTTTAATTTTGCACGTTTCGGTAACATATGTTTGGACTAGTAACAAAAAGGTAATTTCGTCAATCTCCATCCAAAATTCTGTTAGTTTGATCCAGTCAGCCATCTCGTCAGCATCCACATCAACAAAATAATTAATAAAAAATAAAAACCAATTAAAACCCTAACCAACCCATCACCCCAATCCAATCCAACCCAACCCACATCTGCATATGCCAAAGAATTGAAATTCATACACGCGAAATAGATTTGGTCACGATATGTGGCTAGTGACTTTATTTTCTATCTCAACAAATACTTCATTTAAAGTGGCCGATAGAAAAATTGATATTAGTAATTAAAAACTTTATATGTCAGAAGTACTAAATGGATTCTCAGGAACCCGGTGTGACGATTCCCATTCATTCCCTCTATCATCTACGGCCTTTACTTTCGGTGGCTCGCTAATCTTCCTTCAAAAATCTTACCACTTCCCCAAATCTTACATGTCAAATTATAAATGATGGATCATGGATGACCTGAAATAGATTTTAGTATAATGTGGACCTGCTAGAACTCATCGTCATCATTTGGTTTGCTTGTTTTCAAGTTATTGTTTGATTTTTCTTGTTGCAACTGCAAATTGTGAACATTCTTTTTCAGTTATGAAGTTAATCAAAAACTAAATTTTAAACACATACTATAAATATATCAGAATATCAAAAGTTGTCGTGGCTTATTGGGAAAACAATGGAATTGTACACTTTATGAATTAAATATTTATATTTCATTTATTCAAATTATTCAATTATTTTTACTTGTTATTTATTTATTTACTTTTTTTTATAACGGGGAACACCCTCCACGGTCACCGCCGTCGGTCCTAGTCTTTGAGCGACGGGATGCCTCCGGGAACACCATGGTGGCGGTAATAATAACTAATAATAAGGGAGGGGGGGGGGGGATTTAATTTTGATGACTAACACATCTCAATAAAACTCATGGGTCCGCCATTACTCATGGGTCCACCATGGCACAATAATGACTCGTTCACTTGTCATTCCGTTTTTTATAGCTGCCAAAAACAAAAAAAATTTAATGAAAACGAAACTGGTGGTTTTTGAGAAATCAAGGGGCTATTCCACACTTGCCTCTTATATATATACTAGGCAAGTCCCGCACTTTGCAGCGATCTAGTCAACTTTGCATCGTTATTGTTGTCCGTTGAAATTTGATTATTTTTACCGTGACATGCTTACAACGATTTTATTTTTTGTTCGCAAAATGATAATGATATTTTGGTAAAAAATTATGATTCTTATTTTTTTATAAAAATGATAGTTATTTACTTTTTACAGAAAAATGGAAACTATTTATTTGATACCTAGCCAAACATTCCATGTATAATTGTTGAAAATTCTAGCCCGGGCGAGAAAGAAAAACCTAGTGGAAAATTATGACTTTCTAATAAGCTATAACCATATATATTTATTTTTAATTGGACTCGACTTTGAGCTGAAAAACTTAGTGGTTCATGGTTCAATTAGTGGTTCTGTAGACTGTTGGTGAGTCGTGTGTGGACTCTATCATACTTGTGATTAGAATACATAAAAATAGTATACTAGTTAGGTTTAGACGAAAAAGGCAAAGAAAGAAATAAAGAAAGGGTTATGGAAGGCGAGTGAAAAATGAAACGAAGAGGAAGTAGATGATGGAAAGGTTTTGACATATTCTTTTAGTTTGCTGTCAATACAGCATTCAACACATTTCACTGTAGCAATTTATTGACACTTGCTTATGTAGATGTCGCATATTTTGTTACATGTAGTTAATAGAAGTTTTTTTAGTACCCCGTAAATGTACAAATTGAGTTTATAAATTCTCTCTTGTAATATTGTAGAGTCGTCTCTCTTTTATCATTTATTTAATATTTCATGTAATGAACAAATATAAAATGGTCGAATCTTCTCCTGCATTTTAGTAATAAAACATATTGCATTGTACAAACTAAATTTATACTTTTATGTTATGGTAGATTGGATTCATGGATTGCTTAAAAAATATTGGTGGATTGGATTCATGGATTCAAATGAAATCTAAACATTGGAACAATATGTAAATGTAAAAGATTGTAGGTACAAATATCTCATAAAATTTAGATACCAAAACATAATTGTTCAATGATTTTACATTAAAATTAAATTTGGGGTATCAAAATGTAAAATGTACATTATATTGACTAAATTGTGACTTAATTAAATTATAGTTAATAGAAGTTTTTTTGTACCCCGTAAATGTACAAATTGAGTTTATAAATTCTCTCTTGTAATATTGTAGAGCCATCTCTCTTTTATCATTTATTTAATATTTCATGTAATGAACAAATATAAAATGGTCGAATCTTCTCCTGCATTTGAGTAATAAAACATATTGCATTGTGCAAACTAAATTTATACTTTTATGTTATGGTGGATTGGATTCATGGATTGCTTAAAAAATATTGGTGGATTGGATTCATATGAAATCTAAACATTGGAACAATATGTAAATGTAAAAAATGGTAGGTACAAATATCTCATAAAATTTAGATACCAAAACATAATTGTTCAATGATTTTACATTAAAATTAAATTTGCGGTATCAAGATATAAAATGTACATTATAGTGACTAAATTGTGACTTAATTAAATTTAGAGTATCAAAATGTAAATTAACTCCACTTCAACTTAATATATATTAAATATATATAATCCATGAACATTCCAACATACAACGTTTGAGAACGAGATCAAACCTGGTAGTGAACGATCTTTCTTGCGGTCGATCACGTCCAATTTTCAACAAGAGGCAGCCCAGAATTTATTTGATCTCACCTATTATCACCACCTTTCTCCATCTCCATGGCACTACTTTGTATCGCGATTTTTGGAATCTCCATATCGACATGACGTTGAGTGAATTAGAATGTTGAATGTATATATGTATATAATGTGATGCAATTTGTCCACATGCATGCCACAGTTTAAGACTATATTACGCCTATTACAACTGTTTCCTTTATGATCTATCGTATCGTTTTTCGATGCTGGTCTAATTATCCGTTCAAATTTTCAATTTGCTATATGGATTTATAACATAGTGAATTAATTATATATACCAGAAAAGCAGTCGTACTATGCTGCGGATGATAGGAGGCGTGGTGGAATTTAATTTTGTACTAGCGTGGCCCGGTCATTTGACTGGAGGAAGGTGAGGTATGAAATTTGATAATGTAATGGGGTGTATAGTTTATTGTTGCATAATTTTTTTTTGGAAAACACGTGATAAACATAATGAATTTTAGTAGGAAAGAGACATGAATGATGCAACGAATCAAAAATCAGCCTTATGAACCAAAATCAAGTACCTGTTACCTTGTGAAACAATATTGTTTCTGGTAATATGATGAGGTGGAGTAAGTTTTATAGAAATCGAATTCCAGAAAACCGAATAAAAAATAACCTATCCCGCCGGTTTTTCGGGAAATGAGCACAATCGTTGCTAGCTTTTACTCGGCCCGTTGGCTGATTAATTTGCTTTATAAAACTTTCATCTTGTCATCATTGTGCTTCTGGTTTTTTGCCAAGCCACTATAAAATCTAAAGAAATCAAGAATGAACAACACGATTTGGGATAGGAACCACCATTCCTGTATCCCTAGAAAATGGTGGTAAACACGAACTCACCTGCCAAACTGGTTTGTATTGAGATTTTTATCGGGTATCAGGGAACCATGTGATTATAAATTAGACTTGATCAAAACGGGCCAAAACTTGAAATTCAGCCTGTTTGACCGACTCATGCCAAACTCTAATTATTCTTTATTTTTAAACTTTCTATTTTAAAATAAAAAATACCGAAAGAAAAGAGATGACTGCAATTCGCCATTTGCACATCACTGATTCGGGAATAAAACTATAGAATTTCGAAAAGAAACTGAAAATGTTTAGGATCGTCTTAATGTTAAAAATAACCAAATAGATCTTTCTGTTTAGTTTTTTACTAACAAATACTAAACGATTTCCTATAATATACACTATAATTTAATCATTATGATATCAAATAATTACATAATATATATTTGAAATGATAAAAATTGGACTAATTGGGTTTGTCGAGGTTGAACCATTGAATAACTTTAAAATACATTATATTTTAGCCACTAAGATATAAAATAATAGCATAATATATATTATGCTAGAGAAAATCGCTTGTTTTAGAATGACAAACCCATGATGTTCATTTGTTTTACTTGATGGAAAAATCCCGTGTAGGTCAGCTCCATTCAACTGTTTTATTTTATGATTAGCGGTTAGCCCATTAGAATCCATGCATTAGTTTATTGTTAAAATTTTTTTCTTTTTAGCAATAAAAAGGAGTATTGTTTTTTTCTTTTCATATATATTTTATCACCACGGAGAAATAAAAGGACTTAAAGAAAAACAATTGACACTCCTGGACCCGTTTAAATCCGCATGTGTACGGTAAGTTGGCCCGTTCCACAGAGGAAAAAGAAAAAAATTGACACTCCCTATTCTACCCTTCCTACAAACGCTCCTGTAGCAGAGAATTCGAAATGGGGGAAGGGTTTTTCCCTCTCTATGATTATATGTTTTTAATTTAAAAAGATACAACAAATGTACTTAGTGTGATTGGTTATGATCTTTGCTTTTCTTTAAAGTGGTCATGGTTCGATGTCTAGTAAGTGTCTTTTTAATGAATAAAAAAAAGTAATTGTGTAGACCAAAATGTCCTTCCTACTTTCACTCTGGATGCAAGAAATTTGAAATGTGGCTTCAAGTTTTCTCATTTGGCTTTTATTTATTGTGTAGATTTACATCATCAATATTAAAAAAAATTATGAATAATATTAAATTTCTCTTGATAGTCAAATATTATTTATGGTTAGACAAAAAAATAGTAAAAATGATGATTAGAATATATAAAAAAAAGGATAGTAGCAGTGGGCTTCCCATGCCCACGAATAGTCTTAGTTTCTTTAAATAATTAACTCAGTCCTAATTAGTAGGAGTGTGCAACGGGTTGGTCCGTAAAATATCACACCGGATCAAATCGATTGTTGGATGGGATCCCACCCAATCTAATATAATGTGGTTCGATCCTTGACCCTATGAATTTCAAAATAAATAAAAATTTGAATTGATTTTGTACCAGACCAAATCGAATGGAATGCACGGCTGATTTGGTCTTTAATTCTAATGGTACCTTTCACTAATGAATTGGGGTTTTCATGAATTTAGTCCGATCTGGACCCAACCATTCCACACTCCAACCAGCACTCAATTAGATTCGTATATTGGGACAAAATTTTGGTTCCGAAGTTGCTGATTTTGCATTCCACCCATTTCTTTTCTCTAATTCCAATTCTTCTTTCCAACTTCCAAAAACAATTAAATCTGCCTTCTCACCTGCCTGCCTTGTAACATCCCGAACCTTTTCCTAACAAGATACTATCCGCTTTGGGTCTCGACCCTCACGGTTTTCGACTTGGGGTGCAATTCAAGGTGACTTCCCAAAAACAATTAAATCTGCCTTCTCACCTGCCTTGTAACATCCCGAACATTTTCCTGACAAGATACTATCCGCTTTGGGTCTCGACCCTCACGGTTTTCGACTTGGGGTGCAATTCAAGGTGACTTCCCATAAGGTCACCCATCCTTGTTGTACTCCACACTGAGCACGTTTAACTTCGGAGTTCTCACAAGAACTCTTCCATTACACCCCAAAACGCGTCTTGTCAGTTAAGGTCGGTTTTTTACTTATGAACCATGGATCTCTCTCGTGCTTTGTCGATGTGGGATTCGCCTAAGGTGTTACATACACCCCCCCCCCCCCCGCCCCCGGGAGTCCGGGACTCAACGCCCTCGTTGAGGTTTGCCCCACCATCGTTCAAGAGGGACGCGGAGAGGCTCTGATACCACTTGTAACATCCCGAACCTTTTCCCGACAAGATACTATCCGCTTTGGGCCTCGACCCTCACGGTTTTCGACTTGGGGTGCAATTCAAGGTGACTTCCCATAAGGTCACCCATCCTTGTTGTACTCCACACTGAGCACGTTTAACTTCGGTGTTCTCACAAGAACTATTCCATTACACCCCAAAACGCGTCTTGTCGGTTAAGGTCGGTTTCTTACTTATGAACCATGGATCTCTCCCGTGCTTTTATCGATGTGGGATTCGCCTAAGGTGTTACTTGCCTTCTCACCACTCTAATTCTTCTCTCCTACGGATCAATCCTCATTATTACCAATGGGCTTAAGCCCAATCAAATAGAAATTCTTAGTGAACATTAAAAAAAATTCACTTTATATATTAACTAGTTTTTTATCCTGCCCGTTGTCCGAAAAATTTCATTTTATTATTTATATTAATTAATTTATCTATATGTTTAAAGTTTTGTGAATCTTAATACTTAATAGTTAGGAGAAGGTTTATCACGTCTCATTTAATGTCGTATACCACGACACTCAAATTTATTATCTTATACAACATTAATAATTCGTAGTTCTCGAGTTTGGATGAACTCTCAACTTTTTTGTGAGAGTTCAAATTATTGGATAAAGATACTTGATTACTGGATAAATTCAGTATATCCCAATTGGAACTTGGCACATATAGTACCCTTGTCATGATCAAATTCTCTAATGCTCGCTCATTTTCATTGTGGACATTCATGAAGTCTTGATATAGGATCTTAAGCCAAAATTTGTGTATCAAGCACTCAATTAGTATCTTATACGATACATATCAATTGCTCGTTTTTGAAGTTTGGACCAACCCTCAACCCATGGTTGTTGTCTAGATGTTGGTTTAGAATCTCAATCGAAGACATTCACATAAAGTATGGATGATTCTCGTCTTAACATGGTCCTCCAATATATAATTTCCAAATGTTTGAATGTGCATTCACTATATTTTTTTTATCTTTGGTGTTTGTTCATAGAAACATTGTGACATTTCACATGCATTTGAATTCTTGGATGTATTGTAGGCACATCTATTGTAAATAAAGAGTTTATTGCACTTTCAACCGTAATGACAACATTGAGCTCAGCTCATTGAGTGGAATATGAAAACAAAGTTTTTTTTTTTGCTATGGTAACTCGATGTAAATACAAATTCCTTACTCTTATAAACTAAAATATTTTTATTTTGAGACTTCGATATGGGAAAAGTTTTGTTACAACAAAAATTTGGTATGGAATCACACGCAGACATCCATATAGACAGTGACTTCTCACAATTGTCTTACTGAACTCATGCTTATTAAAAAATCGTCATTTAAACCCGATACATCGGTTTAGACTCTTGTAACTATAAAGGTTATTGGTTTAGATATCTCAAATAACACACTAATTTTTATTTATTGCCTCAATTGTCGAATTTGGATTTGTCTACCAAGACATTCAAATATTAAATGAAAAATTTTAACCTTTATTTGATTAATTCCTAGGTCAGTGGTTGATGAAACAAAATGTGTAACGTACATACTTAACAAATATTTCTCTAACTTTAACATGTGTCATTTTTCAAGGTATCTCGTGTCTAATCCTAGGATATAAATTCAAAGTTCGTCAACAATCATACTTAAGTAATTTTGAAAACTTTGATTTATAATCATCGACAATTAATAACTCCAAGTATGAAAATCTTAGCATATATATGACGTAAGACCTCAACAGAGTTTGCTTAATCAACATGATCTAGAGCAAATATTAGTAATGTGAACTTATGATAGAGTATAAATTATTTCACCTACGATCCCTATGTTTTCACTTAATAAGGACGAATAAGTTTTTTTTTAAGAAATAAGTATTATTGCTTGGTCAAGTTTCTACTCAAAATGTAATATATTTATGTTTTGTTTAAATTGTTCATCAAACTGTAATATATTTTTAAAATTTTTAGTAAAAATGAGTAAAATATTTACTTAGTAAACTTTAATCAGATATTTTGGAGATTAAAAAATATATGTGTCACTCTAGATACATTAGTCTACTGATGTGTACATTGATATAATGCAAAAGCAAAAATAAAACACCAAAAATTATTTATTGGGTAAAGAAATTAAATAATAAGGAAAGAGTTATAGCAGATGTGATATATGTCATTCTTCGTACATTAATTATTAATGTGTACATTGATATAATAAAAAAATAAAATATTAAATGGAGAGATAGTTTCATGAATATATCAATAAATTTTTTTATACAAAAATTATCCCCTTAGGCAACTTATCGAATTGTAATATTATGTATGGATAAATATACAGTGCTATGGTCTAACATTCTGTACTACTTAAAATTTGTAATAGATTGTTGGAATGAACTATTAGACTTTGTTATTATATTTTTCATATGTATGTATATGTTGAATTAAAAAATGGAGTTATTGATGTTTAAAATTTGGTAGTATATTTAATAAATGTTTAAATACAATAAATTATTTACTAAATTTTTTAAGGTAATTATTTATTTATTAACTCTTCAAATATATAATTATTCTTGCACTAGCTCTTTCTCCCGTTCCACGAGTCGGCAACTTAAAGTAATTTGACCAACGGACCGGGTCAAAAGCTAGTAATATAATATATTGATTCATGCCATGTTAGAGTACGCTTGGCATACGTTAACCTTAAGGTATGAGTTAATTATCATAAATGGTCACAAACCTATTTACTTTGTACAAAACGGTCACAATTCTTTAATTTTGCACATTTTGGTAAAACAAGTTTGAGCAAATAACGAAGTGGTCAATTCGTCTAATTCCGTCCAAAACTCTGTTACCTATTGCCCAGTTAGCATGACAGATCATTAAAAATATTAATTAAAAAATGAAAAATCAATTAATCACCCCACTTAACCGGCACAACCCAACCGGTCATAACAAGCTCTTTACCCACCCCTTCCAGAATTGCAGAAAGCTAACGACCCTTCTCGAGTTTGTTGCTGCAGTGATCGGCAGAATGGTATTCCCTCCACCCTTCTTCTTTCAAGCTCATCGATCTTCCCTTGACGGTAACGACGACTCCCCACCCGCATCCTCACCTCCAGATTCCAATTCCAATCAACCCGATTCAACCCCTCCTTCTGCTACTACAGGTTCAGATGCCTTTGAATCGAGACTCGATTCGTCGACCCTGACTGCTACTACTATGCCAGCTTCGCCGAATGGAACGAAGACGAGTTCGAAGGTCTTTCGACTGATGACTCCAAAGTCTGGTGGTGCTAGTAGCGACGAGAAGGAAAACAAGATCCATATTCGAAGCAGCAACTAGCGGGTTTGATTTTTATTTCCTCGGTGGCTGGCGCAAATGGGGGAGAGACAGAGAGAATCTGCGATGGTAAAGTTCTTCTGCCTGAGATTGGGGCTGAGAATTTATTCCGGTGAGGCAGAATCAGGGAAGACTGACTGATTACCTTGGGCCTCATTTTGGGGGAATTAAATTGAATTTATGTTTGTGTTTGCTAAAAAAAATTGCCGAAGGGGTGGGTAATTCAGGAAGGGGTGGTTAAAGACTTACTACCGGTTGGGTTATTCTGGTTAAGTAGGTGATTAATTGATTTTTTAATTAATATTTTTAGTGACATGTCATGCTGACTGGGCAACGGGTAACAGAATTTTTGGATGGAATTCTCTAACTCAAATCATAAGTCTCATTTAATCTAGGGTTAATACCCTAGTTTGGCCCGAAGTTTAGCGTAAGTGACAGTTTTAGCCCCATTTTTCAAATAAGACATTTGTGGCCTACTTTTGAAACTATTGGACAGATTTGGCTCGAAAGTTGTGTTGACTGTTAATATTAACGGTCAAACATTTATTCCGTCAATGACTCAACATTTATGGCTGAAGTGGCAGTTACGTCATTAAATAATATTAATTTATTTTTTAATTCAATTAAAATTATAAATGATAAATTAAAAAAAATCCCCTCTTAGTATACAAAATCCCCAAAGCCCCAATACAAACCCTAATCTAAATCAACATCATCTTCAACACCCATGATTCAATTCCACCTTTCTTTGTCACTTCCTGTAAATCTCCATTGGAATTCCCCTACCCATCATTTTCCCCACTTCCAATTGTCAAAAGAGGGAAACCCGTACAAAGTTTCTGATTCTGGGTTGTTTTTGCTTTTGATTTCTAGAACAAACCCAATTTGTGATTGCGATTGAAAGAAGAAAGGGGAGAATCAAGGAAGGATTGACCGTAAGTATTGAAACGATGGGGAGCCCCGATAATGGGTACTGCACTGAGCAAAGCCAACGGCGACTCGCTCAGAATCGTCGGGCGTCGATGCCACGGGGAGCGTGTTCGCCGCCCTTTTACAAGACAGTTACCGCCAGTTCCGCAACAAGATCCAGATCCGGATATGGTGTAGGGCGGTTGACTGGTCCACGGCGGAGCACCTCTTCGAGGTGATCAATTCCTGGAAAGATGTCCTTCGGCGGCTGATCCGGCGTTGCGCCTACCTCAAGTACGTCGAGGCCCGCCGGACTCTGTATGCCGACGAGATCTTGATAAATGGGTTCTGCCTGGTTGTGCTCGATGAAATTGGTGACGAAGGCGGTTTGGGATGCCGACCTTGTGGTGAACGGAGTCCCGTCGACGGATGCCAGGAAGGTTTTCGAAGGGATTAGTCTGTATTGGAAGGAGAGGATTCATATGCCGATTATCATCTTGCTGGTGAAAGGGATTGAGGTGGCGCTGTCCTCCCGAGTGGCCCATCAATATCATCTTCAATATTGATCAAACGATCCATTGATTTAGATTAGGGTTTTGATTTGTGGTTTGGGGATTTTGGATAATAAGAGGGGATTTTTTAATTTTTAATGTTAATTGAATTAAAAAATAAATTAATATTTTTTTAATGACGTGGCATGACACATCACTGCCACTTTAGCATTAGATGCTGAGTCATTGACGGAATAAATGTTTGACCGTTAATATTAACAGTCAACACAAGTTTCGGATCAAATCTGTCCAATAGTTTCAAAAGTAGGCCATAAATGTCTTATTTGGAAAATGGGGCCAGAACTGTCACTTGCCCTAAACTTCAGGCCAAACTAAGGTATTAACCCTTTAATCTAAAACTAATAGCCGATTGTTCCGATTGGTCGAAATATATCGAAATACATCTATTAAGTGTTTTCGAATAAAACCAGATCCGTGTGAATGGTCCGGTTGTTGGTTTGACCGAGAAAACTTGGCTGTTTTGCCAGCCGGCCCTAACTCGTTGGACATGGTTGCTTCAATTTGTCGAGACAGATTGAAGCACGTCAGACATTGAAGCATCTTTCTTTCCATCAGTGTTTATCTTGCTCTGACGGCCGATTTATATAGTTGGACTGTTGGAGGCAACCGGAATCTGATCAATCTATAGAGAGGATACCGATTTCGCCCATTGGCTTCGACCACCAATCTCTAAGGCTTGCTTTTGTGCCCACAAATCAAATCCACATTCAATTGGAACGAAACACCCTGTAATCCTTACTGCTCCAATTCAGATTCAATTCAGTAACCTAAATTACCGGCGGCGCGGCGGAGCTTCGAATGGCGACACTCGCCCCTGCTACTGCCACTACTTCTTCTTCTCTGCTCCACCACGCCCACCACTCCGGCATTCGTCTACAGTGTCTAACGGCACGGCTACCGGTTACTCCTTTCCGCCTAAAACGAACGTCCTTTTCCCGCGCCAAATATAGCAATCGAACAATTCCCCCATCGGTGACGACTTCATTCAATGAGGTGGGTTTCTCTTCCTTGCCTTCTGCTTACAACCCTTGTGGTTTATCTCTTCGGAGGATTCTGAGGTTTTGTTGGCCGAATTTGGTTTTCTGATTGCAGGTAATCGAGTCCTTGATCAATGGGGTTGATTTATCGGAATCTGAAGCCGAGGAGTCGCTGAATTTCTTGCTCGGTGATGCTAGTGAGGCTTTGATCAGTGCTTTCCTCGTCTTGATGAGAGCCAAAGGAGAGACCTTTGAGGAGATAGTAGGATTTGCTAGGGCCATGCTTAGCCACGCCCTGAAAGTTGAAGGGTTGGATGATGCGGTTGATATTGTTGGCACTGGTGGAGATGGAGCCAACACTGTCAACATCTCTACTGGTGCGTCCATACTCGCTGCTGCTTGTGGTGCAAAAGTTGCTAAGGTACAATATGAAGATCTTTGTTGGACTCTTGTATGCTCTTTGTGGTATTGATTGAACTCCTTTTCCTGGTATGTGTTCTACAGCAAGGGAATCGTTCGAGCTCATCTGCTTGCGGGAGTGCTGATGTATTAGAAGCATTGGGGGTGGCTATTGACTTGGACCCAGAGGTATGCAGTTTTTGCTCGAGTGTAAAAATCATCTTTTTATTCACGTTGCATACTCGAGTTAGATGACTTTCTTTTGGTATGGTACGTTATAAGATGATGTGTTGAGAAGTAATGCCGTTTCTGTTTTATGAGTTCATCTACAAAGTGATCGTTGAATTCTTGTTGAGGTAAGTGGTTCCTAGTTATCCCTGTCAAGACTCAAGGGACTGTTGATAATCTTCTGTTGTTAGCTATTGTTAATTGAACTCTTGGGTTACTGAAGGTCATTTTACTTTTATAATTCTCCTCCATGGCCTCCTTGCTTCCTTGGTCAATGATGGATATTTGAGCATAGCTGTTGTTGAAATGCCTGGAATTATGTTCCTGAACTACAAATCTGGGTTTAAGGGGTCAGTTTTAGAAGGATGAAGAGCTCCACTGAGTTCCTGATAGTGGGAACTAGCTACCCCATATAACAGATATTTCGCTCGTCTTCGTGGGTGCTTTTTGTTTCTTCAGCCAGGAAAAGTTTAGCTACTAAACAGACATCAATCGTCTATCAGTTATTAATTTTGTTATCAGTGGTTTCTTTTGCTGAAATCAGGGAGTATCGAGATGTGTGAAAGAAGCGGGAATAGGGTTTATGATGGCCCCCAGGTACCACCCTGCCATGAAAGTTGTGAGTCCTGTGAGGAAAAAGCTTAAAGTGAAGACGATATTCAACATTTTAGGGCCAATGTTGAATCCTGCACGGGTACCTTATGCTGTTGTTGGTGTGTTCAGGGAAGAACTGGTAAATCTTAGTCTCAAACACTAAAGATGTTTCTTAGTGATTCCAACTAAATACAATTTCTTTCCTGAAAAGTACTGTACTTCTGTGGTTGTAGGTTCAGAAAATGGCAGGAGCTCTGCAACGGTTTGGAATGAAGAGAGCATTAGTAGTCCATTCAGAAGGCCTCGACGAAATAAGCCCCCTTGGTAAACCCCACACCACATAATCCCTTTCCTCGTCACCTGATCATCTGTGTAATCTCTAGCCATAAAGAGTTCATGTTCAATATTAATACGAAGACCACAATATATCTGAAATGCAGGCCCTGGTACAGTCCTTGATGTAACTCCACATGGCGTGGAGAAATTCTCGTTCGACCCGCTGGACTTCGGGATTCCTCGTTGCAGTTTGGATGATTTGCGAGGCGGGGGGCCTGACTTCAACGCAGATGTACTGAAGCGTGTCCTATCAGGAGAAAAAGGAGCCATTGCAGATGCCCTGGTGAGTTCACTTCAGGCCGCCTTCATGACTTAATCCTCGATCTCTATAACCCATCAACTGTACATGAAGTTTCTCTCTTTAGCTGAGTGGAGCTGCTGCTGTGGTTTTGTTTCAGATACTAAATGCAGCAGCGTCTCTACTAGTGAGTGGCACCGTGAGAACTCTGGGCGAAGGAGTGGCATTGGCTAGAGAAACACACTCATCGGGCAGAGCTATCCAAACACTTGATAAATGGATCCAAGTTTCTAATGCATAAGCATGGCGAGCTTGGAAGATCGGTTCTTTCTACAGTGAGATGGCGGAACAGAAGGTGAAAAGACTTCAAGTAGCTCGTGGAATAGTTTATGAGCTTGTAAAATGCGCAAGCAGTCGGCTGTTTTCTCTTTTATTTGAGTTAGGATTAGCATTTTAAACCTTCAGGAGTCTGTCAAAGAAACAGTGTTGGGCGCATCTTTTTGTACTCTTTCCTACCTGTTTGGTTGAATAAAGCTTCCATTTGTCATCAGAAGCCATAAAAGTTACTATCTTTGGATAACAAGCAAACAAGCACATCGAAATCAATCGCCATACAGTACAGCTTTTAGGTCCGATACAGAAAAACTACAACGCTTAACATACGTGTGCCACTTGGCAAGCACGGAACAAACAGAGTTTCTCCTGCTGCAGTTTCCATCCATTGTCGCAATCAAAGTTGAGCAGAGTTGTTGCTTATGGCGCCGACTTCGTTGATAAGAGGCAGCAGCTCCCCATTTTCGTGCTTTGCCAAGGTAGCTGGGATGATAAATAACAATGGTATTAACAAAAAACGGCAGCAAGTTATAGCAATAGATCAATGGAGAAGAAGAATCAATTTGCTTACCGTCGCAGCCACCAATATGCTTTCCTCCGATGAACACATTAGGCACAGTCCTCTGTCCAGTCCATTTCAATAAGGCTCCCTGAATCTCGACTCCATCGCCTTCAATCAGAGACACAGAAGTCAAAATCAATCAATTCTCCATCCCCAAGCTCAGTTTCACCAAAAACTAAAACTCAAATTCTTACTTTCTTGGTCCAATTCGATGACTTTGAAAGCAGCTCCGAGCTGGGTCAGCAGCTTCTTCACCCTCGTGCAGTATCCGCAGTAAGTTTTGCTGAAACCAAAGAAGAAGAAGAAACAAAAGGAAGCAATCCAAACTCAGCCACGTGATTTGAGAAAGTAAAAAACGGAATTGGGTTTTTCGATTTCTCGAGCAAAGTTTTGGAATTTAGAGGGAGAACCTGAATACAACGACAGGGGCAGAGGTGGCGATCTCCTTGGCTTTGTTAAGGGCGGCTTCCATTTCTTGGTCAGTCTTCTTGCTCGAGCTCAACAGCGATCCCATCTCGCCGCTACGAATTCCCGCTGTCTGAATAAATACAGGAACCGCTTAATTTTTTCCGTGGGGAGAGAGCAGAGAGCGAAATTCAGGGAGAGAACCAGGTGTCGGAAGCAGGGGAAATGGTGCAGCAGGGGGATGAAGCTTTGGTGGCGACGATGGGGAGATCACAGGTGGCTCTTTAAATAAGGTTAGCTTACAATTTACAAATCCGGCTATCAACTCACAAAAATATTAAAAAAATTGACCTTATCTGGACGAGATCGGCCGATCAAAATACAAAAAAAAAAAAAGAAACTTCTCGTGGGCAGATGGGCTGGACCGAGATGTAAGCCCGCATCACAACTTGGCCCATTCGTTTCTTTCTTGTTTCGAAAATTATTGATTAATAGCATTTCGTACTCTTTTATTATTGTAAATTAACCAACGTACCATTTTAGTATTTTTTTCTTCATAAACATACATTTCTAGTACTATATTGTACTCCGGTCCGTTGGCCGGTTGCAATACGATACCAGTAATCAACAAATGTAAGGGGTTGTTTGCTTCGTGGATTTGGTAACCAAATTCATTCCATCATGGATTTAAGAAAAATCCATCGTTTGCTTGCATTTTTTTATTGGGATCAAATCCGTGGGACTCACGGATTTTAAGGGTCCAAATCCGTGGATCCCACGGACTTGTAAATCCCACATATTGATGTGGAATTTGTAACATGACATAAATTCATGATAGGATTTTACTCGTATACCCTCATTAACTTTTAAAATTCCAAGGTTGCCCTCACATTTACCTATTGTACATTATAAATAATCAATTAATTACAACAAAAAATAATATAAATATTCAATTAATGTGCAAACATGAGTTAGATTCTTTATACCCTTTCTTGTATTCTAGTTTTCTTTGACATTTTCATGGAGCATATAATTCTTTGTTCCCCTGCTCTAATATATGTTGTTATATGTTACTTTAGAAAATGAGGACACATAATTGGTAACCAATATGTATTATGTTAAAAGTTAAACAAAATTTTCCATTTATTATTATTATTATTGTACTTGTGGCAACATTATGCTTATTAGTTCGTATTGTCCTTGTTTTGTGTACATATCATAAACATAACAAACAAATATAAAATGATAGTATGGTAATTTTGGACTTTAGTTCTAAATCCCAAACTCTTAAATCCACGATAAAACATCTCAACAAACAAAGGATTGTTACAAATTCATAATGCCTCAAATCCTTGATAAATTCTTGGGTTTTTAAATTACAAAACCTTCATTTTTGAATCCATGAAGCAAACTACACCTAAATGAGCATTCATCATACATATTACTACATTGTAATAAGTGCCTTCGTAGGTTTCCATTGAAATTAAAAACGATCAGACTCATGCAATGGAATATCAACTCATAATAAATTTATTGAAAATATTACAAGTAATCCAAGATGACTGGTATCACTTCTTTACCGTCAACAATCTCCATCATCAACAGACGCTTTTTTTTGTGTACATGTTTTACGAAACAAATTCAAAGACAAAACATAACCATATATGAAATATCATTTTCATGACAAAATAACTCACCTCATTCTAGTCACAATTGTTCTTGGAGATGATTGATTATGTTCAAAACTGTTAATATAGTAGAAGTTCAACTTCGTTCCATTTCTTTTGTAAATATTTTAGGGTAATGTCTATTTTTTATCTAAACCTTTTTCAAATTCTTTTATTTTATCCAAACCTATCGAAATACTAAAAATTATCCAAATGTTAACTTACAGTTAGCAATTTTGTTAGTAATATTGACTTGGCAACATATACTGATTTGAAAGAGACTCATGAAGGTCAACATTCCAAAATTTTAATATTGTCGCTAAGAAAAGAGTTACAAAATGATTAACGATAACGTAAAAATGACCAATATTTTGATGCATTATGAAAAATTTGGATAATTAATAGAATTTTAATAGATTTGGATAATAAAAAATCTGAAAAAGGTTTGGATAAAAATAAACATTAAAACCAATTTTCATAACAAAGTATCCACATAAAACTCCACTTAAAGAACCATTGAAATTTTCTAGCCACCTCTCTCTTTCTTTCTCTCTCTTTCTTTCTTCGAGTGCTCGTAAGTTTTCCGATTGATGGCCGCCGCGGGCGGAGCCTCTCAGGGCGCCGCCAGCGGCGGCAGGTCCTGGGCATCACTGTTCCAAGTTGCTGAAGAAAGTCGGTTGGAGTTTTAGGAGCCAGAATTCATCAATGGGTCTCTCAGAATCCCTAAGTCGGTGATTGAGGAAGGAGCGAAGCACTGGGATAACAGCTTAGTAGGGCAATTTCTGGTTGATCCTCCCTCAATTTCAGCGCTCCGCTTCTGGGCTAACTGGATTTGGGGGAAGGAAGGGGAAGTGAAGGTCTCGATGCTGGAAGACAGGCTGGTGCTGTTTCAATTTCCTTCGGAATTGACTTGTCGATGGGTATTTCGAAGGTGGTCCGTGGCATTTTAAGGAGAAGATCATCTGCTTAAGGCGGTGGGTTCCAGGAATCAGAGCTTTGGAGATTAATAACTCGGCCATACCAGTGTGGGTCAAGCTAACAGGTATTCCTGCGGAACTAGCTTTAAGAGAGGGGTTAGGGAGAATTGCGAGCTCAATTGGTAAGCCTATGTGTATGGATCACTCACTTTCTCAGAGGAGGAAGATAGGTGCAGTGAAGGTGTGTGTTGAGGTGAGTGCTCAGAAACCTTTAGTTGATAGAATCAGTATTACCCCTGATGATATGGAAGAGATGTATATTGGGGTTGAGTATTGTGGTTTGCCTAAGTGTTGTTCAGCGTGTGGCGTCTTTGGTCATGATTGCTTGAAGCCTGCTATGGGAGTTACTACCAAACAAGTCTGGCGACCAAAGAGGCAGATTACATCGATGCAAGAGGTCTCACCTCAGATAGTGGCAGAAGTGGAGTCAGGGAAGGAAAGGGTGATTGTGGAAAAAGCTGGTGAGATAGTTGATGAGTCTGCACAAGGGAAGGAAGGAGTGCAGGAAGGAGTGCTTGATGAGAATGTTGGAGGCAGTTCAAAAAAGGGCAAGGAAGTAATAGTTGATTCCACACCTCCAGTCACACCGAGTGCTCTCCCCTCGCAGGAGGAGTTTAACAAAGTTATCAATGGAGCAAAGTCGAGGTCCCTCCCAAGGAAATCTGTTCCTATACTGAATTCAAATGCTTTTGAGCTGCTCTATGGAAGAGACATCAAGTTACAAGCACCTCAGAAGAAACCAGGAGGACGTGAGGGGCTTAGAAGTAAGGGTGCCACTAAGGTGGCTACCAACCATAAATGACTACCCTAATATGGAATACAAGGGGGTTTAACAGCCCTCTGAAGCACACTGCTGTGCTTCGATATATTAGAATACATAAGGTTTCAATTTTTGCTCTTCTTGAAACTAGAGTACAAAAACAGGACAATATAGAAAAAATAAGGGAGAAGTTTGTCGGGTTCCAGTTCACAGATAATTACTCAAAAAACAGGTTAGGGAGAATATGGATTGGTTGGAATGATGATGTGAAGGTTCAAGTGCTGAAGGAAGAGGAATGTTTCATTCATTGTCTAGTTGCAGGGCAGAAGGGGTCTCAATTCTTCTTAACAGTAGTATATGGTTCAAATGAGGAGAAAGATAGATTGCTGACTTACAAAACTATGAGTCAATGGAAGGTTAAAGGGTTTCCATGGATGATAGGTGGGGACTTTAATGCAATTCTTAGTCCTGCTGAAGCATCAAACCCTGTCTCTATTAACACCAGTATGACAGAATTCAGAGAATGGGTTGATCAGATGGAAGTAATTGACCACAAGGCAACTGGACCTGTATTTACTTGGGCTAATCAGCAACAACTCAATCCTATTGCCAGGAAACTTGACAGATTAATGGTGAATGAAGACTGGTGTGAGCAATTTGCAGATTGTGTGGTAGAGTTCATTCCCCCTGATTTCTCTGATCACTGTGGGATAATGATCACTCCTCATGTTCCAACTAAGAGCTATCCTAAGCCTTTCCGATTTTTTAATATGTGGCTTGATCATTCGTCTTTCTCGGAAATTCTGCATAACTGTTGGCAAGGCCCAGCCCAGCAAGGTTTATTTGGGGTTAGGAAGAAGTTGGTTTCACTCAAACTGGAATTGAGAAAGCTTAACAAGGAGGCTTTCTCAGACATTTCTGCTCGAGTTAAGGAGAAAGAAGGAGAGCTCAAGAATAAGCAATTGCAAGCTCTTGAACACCCTACACAGGCCAGGTTTGAAGAAGTCAATGTAACTAGGAAGGAATACCTTCTTTTAGCCACAGCTGAAGAAGCATTTTACAAGCAAAAATCTCGGGTCAGCTGGCTGGGGTTAGGGGATTCTAACACTGCTCACTTCCACTCTTCTGTTAAGATCAGAACAGACAAGAAGCAAATAAGAAAGCTAGTTGCAACCAGTGGAGAAGAAATAACAGATGTCCAGGATATAGCAAATGAAGCTGTGAGTTTTTATGGTAAACTATTTGGGGTGGTTAACTCTGATGTGAGGGTGGATGATATTTTTCTGGAAGACTGTATTCGAAATAGGTTATCTACTGGAGATCAAAAACTCTTGTGTGAGACAGTTACGGCTCAGGAGATTAAGACAGCCCTATTTGAAATGAATCCAGCCAAAGCTCCGGGGCCAGATGGATGGAACACTGAATTCTTTCAGCGTTGTTGGGGAGTGGTAGAGCTAGAAATTACTCAGGGGATTCAGTACTTCTTCACATCAGGACAACTCCCCTGTATAAATGTTATTTACAAAATCATCTCTAAAGTGATTGCCAACAGACTTAAAAAAGTGTTGCCTTCTATAATAAGTAGAAATCAGTCTGCCTTTATCCAGGGGAGAAGCATTGTTGAAAACATTCTTATGGCCCAGGAAATAGTACAAAATTACAATAGGATTAATATATCATCTAGGGGAGCTGTGAAGGTTGACCTTAAGAAGGCTTTTGATTCAGTAAGCTGGGAGTTCTTGTTGTGTGTGATGAGGAAGATGGGATTCCCTACAGTGTTTTGTCAGTGGATTCAGACCCGTCTTTCATCAGCTTATTTTAGTATTACAATACATGGGAGTCTATTTGGGTTTTTTCAAGCTGCTAAAGGGGTGAGGCAGGGGGATCCTATCTCCCCCTATCTCTTCACCATTGCCATGGAACCTCTCTCAAGCATGTTGGATAAAGCTGCAAGAGATAATGACTTACCCTTCCATCCTCAGTGCAAAAACATTGGCTTGACTCACCTGGTATTTGCAGATGATCTCATGATCTTTACAGAAGGCTCAGCAATGGCCCTAAGCAGGGTTCGTCATATTTTAGATGATTTCTATACACTTTCAGGGCTGCAATGCAACCCAGAGAAGTGTGAAGTTTTCTTTGGGGGCCAAGCAAATCAGTTTAAGCAGAATGCAACTAGAGTTTCTGGATTTAAAGAAGGTCACTTACCTGTACGATATCTAGGACTCCCACTGATTGCTGGTAAGCTGACCAGTAGAGAATGCTCAATTTTGGTTGACAAGCTCACCAGTCGAATTGGAGGATGGAGAGCTAAGAAACTGTCTTATGCAGGCAAACTCCAGTTGGTAGATTCTGTTTTGTATGCTGTTATCAATTACTGGATGAATATTTTTGTGTTTCCAAAGAAAATGATTAAGGCAATTCAGAAAGTGTGTGCAGACTTCTTGTGGCATGGAGATGGGACTGGTAGAGCAAAGGTGGCATGGGAGAAGCTGGCGCTGCCCAAGCAGGAAGGAGGGTTAGGTATAAAAGATTTATTAACTTGGAACGTGGCTTGTGTTTCCAGATTACTATGGCTGATCCTCATTAAAAGTGGTAGTTTTTGGGTAGCTTGGGTTCACAGGTATAGAATGAAGGAGAGATCTATATGGCAGGTTACTAATAATGTGACAAGTTCTTGGATCTGGAGACAGTTGTTGAAAGTTAGATCATGGTTGCAATTCATGTTAGATGTTGATTCTTGTGGACAAGTGACTTGGCAGGGGAAGAAGATGAACAAGTTCTCAGTGTCAACAATTTGGAAGACCATTAGACCAAAGTACCCAGTAGTCGATTGGTGGAAGGTTATCTGGAATAAGTATGTCTTACCAAAAAATAGAGTAGTGACTTGGTTGATTATATTGAATCGCATAACTACTAAAGACAAATTGAAACTTTGGGGGACCTCACAGGATGAGCAGTGTGTTTTGTGTGACTCTGAAGTGGAGACCCGTGAGCATCTCTTCTGTCAATGTAGCTATACTGTGGATTTTGTGAGTTGCTTGTTGCAGAGAAGGGTTACTTTGACTGGCAGATGGGAGGAGCAGTTGCAGCTGATGTGCAAAGTAGCTAGTTCAGGAAGTGACAAAGACTGTGTGGAAGTGGTGTTATGGTGTTGGTGTGTGACCTCAATCTGGAAAGAGAGATGCAGAAGATGTTTTGGGGGGCAATTTAAGACAGCTGCTCAGTTAGCAGAGCAGTTAAGGGAAGAGATCAGCCTGTACTGTTCTGGAAAGTTAGATTTTGAGATTAAAGTTAAGGGATCAGACTACTCAAGATGTATTAGTTAACTTTTTTCTTCTTTCCCTGCTTTTGTATTGGTTTTGACCATACTGTATTTTCGACTCTTAGCTGGATTTTCAGCTAGAGAGAGAGCTTAATGAAAGTTACTAATTACCGGAAAAAAAAAATAAACATTACCCAATATTTTATTCCTTCTTTTAATCTACACATACCTAAAGCCAATGTAAAAAAAAAAAAAAAAAACTTTTGACACGTAAGCTTCTATTCGCCAACCCGTAATTTCGAGAGGACTCAAATGTAACTTTGCTTTTTATTTGTTAGTTTGCGGCTCAAACTAATATTCCTTCCCTTTCTTCGTTCATCTCCCCCACCGCGATTTATCCTCTGCCTCTATTACCTTTTCCCGGCATTGCGTCTGCAGGTGGTGAAACTTCTTCGGCTCTCTCTCTCCCCCCTCCAGTCCCTCTCCATTCCATCTAGCCAATACTGTGTTGTCTCCTCGAACTCTAATGTTTTTCTTCCTAATTAACTCCGGGAAACTTGGATAATTTTCTTGTCTTGTTTAATTGCATGACATGATGTATTTGTTTTTATTTTCATATAATTTTCATGCTTTATTTCAAATATTTATGCCGAATTTAAAGTTAACTCTTTCTTGAATGCGATGAATCTAAAGTTTTTTTAAAAAATCATGAAAATTATTCTCAATGAGATTTAATAATGAAAAGTATGCATTGATCCAATCGAGTGTGTGCGATGATTATTAAGCGCTCTATTTGATAAATAATTTAGGGGCTCTTTACTGAGACATATGTGGGTTTCATTGTAGTAATAATATAGTATTTTTCCAAACATGAAAAGATATGAAATAAGTTTCCTATTAGGGTAAGTTAATCCATAAAGTGTATAGGCAAAATGTACAAGCGTATCATATTTTGGAGGTGTCTTATTTCGTATTAAAATTAAGTGACTAAAGTTATAGTTGTCAAAAGACACACTCAACACTTGGTTTAATTTATCTTCCTACATGAAGTTTCATGTGAGTACTAATACTCACAAAAGAAGAGGAGGGAAGATACAAGATAAAATTGTGATCGTTCACTTAACCTCAAAATTCTGAGTAAGGAACAAGTAGAGACCTAAGGATGTTATGGTTTCGTGGAACTCTTAAGGATATGGTGAGGAGTATTTCTAGTTACTAAACTCCATTTAGATATAAATCCATACGGGTTACAACGTACATCCTTAAATTGAGTATCCAGAAAAATATTTAATGTAACGCGTATGTGCAATAAGGCACTTGCACATTTAGGGTTGTCCAACTCAGTAAAAAGCTTATAAGGCACAAGAAGGTATAGTGGACAGAAGGATACAATTAAATTATATTCTTTTGGTTGAAGAAGGTTGCAGTACCTCACGGGTCTTGCTGTTGCCAGTATCGTGCGATCATAGATCATCCTACGATTTTCGCATCAAGATGAAGATGATCTACAACATGAATCCATGTATTCCTTTTAACCTTTGATAATCTGCCAAGATGTATTCCAGAGAATTACATATATCTTATGTTAATTCTTTTAACGATCATTTTACTAATTCTTCACCGTATTTTATGGTATGTGCCAATTGTTGTTGTCAATGCTAAAGGTTGTCAACCCGCGGGTCGACCCATTTTGATCCTGGCCTGGTGAGAAAAATGGGCCACAGCCACTCGCTGGGTCGACCGCGACAAGGTACCGGGTTGGAGGTGAAATTGTGTCATTTTTTTCTTTGGTTTGCGAAATGCGCCTATTTTCCGATTTTTCTTTTCACCTAACTCAATCTTTGGAATTCTAAGTTGAACATTTGAATATTGATGCTATATAAGTGTGTGTGAATTTTCACTATATGTTAGATCTAAATACAAAATGTTATTTTTGTGTAACAATGTTATATGAGATTTGATATAATTTATCATGATAAGTACAATAAAATGACTCTTTCCATATTTCCGGGCTAAAACGAGTGACCAATTAACCCGTGACCCACTAGATCGACCGGGTCCGGCTGAGTTTGATGGATGATAAGGAAAGAAAAAGGACTTGAAATTGGATTTTTTTTACTAGACACGATTCATTCATTCATAGTAATTAATGTCAATGACCTCAAAATTTGAGGTTCTCAACAGTACATGCAACTAGGCGTGGGTTGGTCCATACCGGACCACACCGGACCGAATCGATATTTGGATCGGATCACATCGAACCGAATACAATATGGTCCGATCCTTTATCCTATGAATTTCATAAATACTGAAGAAAAATGGATCAAATTTACATTTGGAGCGGACGAAATACATCAAAGCGGATCGAATGTACTATTGGTCCGATCCGGTCCGGACCAGACCGATGCCCACCCCTACATGCAACCCAATGAAACTTACGAAAGAAATAACGAGACGATGAACTTAAAAGTTGATATATCTCTTACCAAATTATGGGCAGGAAAGCAATGAAGCAAATAATTAATCTTGTCACTACCGTGTTAAAAGTAGATCTTACATAATTTTCTTTCCAATGTTGCGATTCATTTCAGGTCAATGGCAACAGACTTACGAATCACCAATTTTGGGTTGATTACCGGACCGACCGGGAACACCAACCGGTCGAAGGACTCGACCGAGCAGGGAATGGACAGGGGACCCACTATCTTGGGCGAATCCAGCAGCAGGGGCACGTCGTCGCCATCCTCCGACGTCCGCCGCCGCCGCCTCACCAACAACTCCTGCACCGACGGCTTGGCCAGGCTCTTCACCGGAACTTCGTATCTTCGCGCCTCCTCCCCGACGTACATCCCGATGTACCCTCTCCTCCTCCGCCGCCGCAGCTTCACCCCGCACCACTTCCGCAGCAGGGAAATCACCACTTCCTTCATCAACATGTCGGCGAAAAATAATGTTGATTTCCACCCGCATTTGAAGTTTCATATGTAAATTAATTACGGACAAACTTTTATTCCGTTGGTGACCAGACTTTTAGGACTAGTATTATCCTGGTTCTTGGCCACTTTCCTCTTTAACTTTTGTGACCTCTGAATCTTATAAGCTTCCTATTCTTAAATTACATTGTTTGTTTTATTCTCGACTTATTATTTCTCTGTTACTTTTATTTCATTCTCTCTCTATAACAAAAATACATACAATGATCATAATCAACAGTCTCCCCCAATTAAATTGATACCGGGGAATAAGCATCAATTTGTCAGAAAGAAATCGATGTCGGCGAGTAGAAAATTATATTCCGTTGGTGACCAGAGTTTAAGATTTAGTATTATCCTGGGTCTTGGCCACTTTCCTCTTAACCTCTGAATCTTAAAGCTGATTTGCTAATATTACTTTATCTGTTTTATTCTCCACTTATAATTTCTATGTTAATTTTATTTCATTTACTCTCCATCACGCTTATCATTGTGCACTTGCGCAAACACCAGCATCATTGTGCACTTTAATCCTCCCAAGGCTCGATTTTAGACCATGTCTTCTTAACAAGATATCCATGTGTTGCATAGTTTGTCAATTGGTATAGGAGTTATTTATTATTAGTCGGGATTGCATGGAAGGGTATAGGAGTCCTTTCTTCCTTTACGTAACGTAACCCTAGTTGCACTTGAGGAATAGGGTATATATTCATCTCCTTGTAATCAGCTGCCGACTAATAAGAAAAGCAAGAGAAAGCTCTATTTCTCCGTGGAGTAAGCTCATTCACACTGAATGAGAAGAATCACGTAAATCCCGTGTTCGCGTTCGTTACTTCTCGCTTTATATTTTACATGGTATCAGAGCCTGGTCATATAGATCAGAATGGCTACGACAACAGAGGGTGGAACTGACGGTGCGATGGTTACCAACGGCGGCGGCGGAGGCGGTATGGTTCCTCCGGTCATTCCTGCGACGTTGAAGATCCAAGCATCGGACAATCCTGGCCAGCTGTTTGTGGGGGAGTTGCTGAACGACTCGAATTATGGAGAATGGGTAACCGATATGACGGAAGCCCTAATCGCCAAGAATAAACTTGGTATTGTGGATGGATCTGTTGTGAAGCCCGAAGCGGCGGGAGAGCTCCGGGAGGCATGGCTGCAATGCGATGCACTCGTGAAGGGATGGCTCAAGACTGCCATGGACAAAGAAGTTCGCAGCTCGATTCGTTATGCGAAGACGGCGCGAGAGATGTGGGTCGATCTCGAGGCCAGGTTTGGAAAAGGATCGGCTCCTCGCGCATATGAACTCCGACAGCTGATTAGCTCCTTGAGGCAAGAGAAACTCAGCGTCTCTACCTTCTTCACCAAGCTGCGGGGTTATTGGGAAGAGATGCAGACGATAAAGCCGATTCCGCGTTGCACGTGCGGGCAATGCACATGCGATGTAGGGAAACAAGTCATGGAAAATCTAGAAAGTGATCGTCTTTTTGACTTTCTAATGGGACTAGGAGATGCTTTTGCTACGGTGAAAACTCAAATATTATCTATGAGACCTACACCGACCTTGGGTGAGGCTTATCGGCTTGTTGCCACCGAGGAACAGCACAAGCAAATTTCTGCAAATATGAGGCCTCATGTTGAGGCAGCAGCACTTCAAACTTCTCGTGGCCAAGATGCGATGGACGCTGGTCGTGGTAGTGAGAGAGGACGCAACGCAGATGGCAAGAGTGTACTTCGTTGTAGTCACTGCCAAAAGCGTGGCCACCAAAAGGAAAGTTGCTTTGAGTTGATTGGATATCCAGCTGGATGGGTCGAGAGGAAGCCACGTTCAGGAGATAGAGAGGAGCGGCAGAGGGACTCGAGGCCGAACAAATCAAGGGCAGCGCAGTCGTCATCAGCGGCAGGTGTGTCTATTCCTGGACTAAGCTCTGACCAAGTTCAGCAACTGTTGCAGTTTCTCAACCAGAGCAACACGTCGCAATCTCAGAATACAGAGTCACAAGTGCACATGGCTGGTAAGTTCTCTGACAGTTCTGAATGGGTTATTGATTCGGGGTGCAATGAATATATCACCAACGATGAAAAGTTGCTAGAAAATTCGGGTGCTGTTCAAGGGTATTTGCCGGTTAGTATTCCGAATGGGGATAAAGTGGCAGTTAAACGAGTTGGTGATGTCAGTTTGTCAAATGGAATGAAACTCAGTCGTGTTCTCAGCATACCATTATTTAAGTGTAACCTTCTCTCGGTCAGCAGGCTGACACAAGATTTTGATGTCGCTTTGACATTCTTACGCGATTTTTGCGTCATCCAGGACTTACACTCCAGGACGACGATTGGGACGGGACAACTACGTGATGGATTGTACTATCTTCGGTTGCTAGGAGGACCTGTGTCGCATGCCTTAACAGCCAGTGGTGATGATGGAACGGGGGAGCTTTGGCATTCGCGTCTGGGCCACCCGTCACCGGAGAAAGCTTCGTTCTTATTTAGTTCAATTCAGAATAAATGCAAGGTTGATGCCTGCGATTCTTGTATTCGTGCTAAACAGACACGACTACCTTTTCCTCGGAGTTCGATAAGAACAAATCGATGTTTTGAACTTGTTCATGTGGATATTTGGGGTGGTTTCAAGGTTCCAACTCAAAATTCAACTAGATATTTCCTTACCATTGTTGATGATTTCAGCAGGGCTACCTGGGTATATTTGTTGAGTTATAAATCTGATGTTGAGGGATATTTAAAGATGTTCATCAATATGGCCGAGACGCAATTTGATAAGAAGGTAAGTAGAGTTCAGGCTGACAATGGATTGGAGTTTCAGACGAACAGCTTACGTTCTTTCTATGAAGACCGTGGAATTGTATTGCAGACAACGTGCACGGATACTCCTCAACAGAATGGAGTCGTCGAGAGAAAGCATCGCCACTTGCTAGAGACAGCTCGTGCCTTGAGGTTTCGGGCTAATCTGCCATTGCGTTTCTGGGGGGAATGTATACTTACTGCTGTCTACTTAATTAATCGACTCCCTTCCAAGGTTTTGCAGAATCGAACACCTTATGAAATCCTACTGGGTAAGCTGCCGTCCTATAAGCATCTTCGGGTTTTTGGTTGCTTAGCTTATGGAAAGGATACGCACAAGGGTGTTTCGAAGTTTGGGGAACGGGGTCGTCGATCTGTCTTTATGGGGTATCCTGCCTTTCAAAAAGGCTATCGCCTTTATGACTTGAACACCCACACATTTTATACTTGCCGAGACGTGCATTTTGTTGAATGGACTTTTCCCTTCCACGAACAGTCAACTAGCTCTCCTCAACCAGCAACTTCCCTCCCTTCCTTTCCAGCGCTCGTCGAAGATGATGATGACCCAGTGATGACGACAACCCCGCCAGTACCAGATGATGGGGATTGTACTTTGCCGAATGACTCTTCGGCATCTGAACCACTACATTCTGGTTCGTCGCCTTCCGCATGTGCGCCAAGTACTGCATTACCTCCACATGAGAAACCGGGGGAAGGCCCTCGACGCAGCCTGAGAAGTCGGCAAGTTCCTCGTTGTTTTTATCACTTCGAGGTTGAGCTCCCTCCGTCAAATGTTCCATATCCCATGTCCAATTTTGTGAGGTATGCGAAATTCTCTTCGGGACACAAAAGTTTCCTAGCAGCAGTATCTAGCAAGACTGAACCCACATTTTTCAAAGATGCTGTACGTTATCGTGAATGGCGGGAGGCTATGCAGCGGGAAATAGATGCGCTCGTTGCTAATGGTACCTGGTCTTTGGTTGAACTACCTCCGGGAAAGAAAGTTGTCTCTTCCAAGTGGGTTTTTAAGATTAAGTACAAACAAGACGGTACCATTGAGCGTTACAAAGCTCGTTTGGTCGCCAAAGGTTTCACTCAAACAGAGGGGATAGACTATCATGACACTTTTGCGCCTGTGGCCAAGCTTGTCAGTGTTCGATGTCTTCTTGCGGTGGCTGCGATTCGCGGATGGGCAGTTCACCAACTCGATGTTGACAATGCGTTTCTACATGGCGATCTTCAGGAAGAAGTTTACATGCAGATACCTCCCGGCTTTGCAGCACCAGGTGATACGCGTGTTTGCCGATTGCACAAATCCATTTATGGATTGAAGCAAGCATCTAGGAACTGGTATGCCAAGTTCACCACTACCCTAACTGAACTTGGTTTTCAAAGATCCCGGGCAGATTACTCAATGTTTGTTCGCCGACATCGAGACACCTACGTTGTTGCCTTGATCTATGTCGATGACGTAATTCTTGCCGGGGATGATATGGAGTTTATCCAGCATGTTAAAGACGCCCTTCATCGCCAGTTTGGAATCAAGAACCTTGGCCCTCTTAAATATTTTCTGGGAATTGAAGTGGCCAGGTCTCGTGCTGGGATTGCGCTTTGTCAGCGGAAGTATACCCTTGATCTTTTGCAGGATAGTGGCCTTTCCGCTGGGCGCCCTAGCTTGTTTCCGATTGAGCAACAACATCAACTTACCAGGCCCCCCGATGATGACTCTACTCGTGTCTCGGCGGAAGATGCTGCTGCGTATCGTCGCTTGATCGGACGCCTTCAATACCTTACAGTCACACGGCCAGACATTGTTTATGCCGTAAACATTTTGAGTCGATATGTGCATGCCCCTACCTTGGAACATGTAGCCGCAGCTGACCGTGTTCTGCGGTACTTGAAGAGTGCTCCGGGACAGGGCATTTTGCTTCCATCTACTGGCGATTTGCGCCTCACAGCTTACTGCGATGCCGATTGGGGGGGTTGTCAGTCCTCTCGGCATTCCACTTCTGGCTATTTTGTCACCCTTGGCACTGCTCCCATCTCATGGCGTACTAAAAAGCAGTCGGTTGTAGCCCGGTCTTCTGCAGAAGCTGAGTACCGCTCGATGGCAGGCGCAGTGAGCGAAGTTATATGGCTAGGTGCACTGCTCCGTGATTTGGGCATCCCATCTGCTGCTCCTACTGTTCTTTACTGCGATAATCAGGCTGCTCTACACATCGCAGCGAACCCAGTCTTTCATGAGCGCACAAAGCACGTTGAAATGGACTGTTACTTTGTTCGGGATCATGTGACTTCCGGTGAGATCCTCCCTCAAAAAATCTCCACTCATCATCAGCTGGCGGATTTGTTCACTAAAGGGCTCGGTGGTGATCGATTTCAGGAGTTGTTGTCCAAGCTGGGCATTTGCAATTTGCATGCCTCAGCTTGCGGGGGAGTATAGGAGTTATTTATTATTAGTCGGGATTGCATGGAAGGGTATAGGAGTCCTTTCTTCCTTTACGTAACGTAACCCTAGTTGCACTTGAGGAATAGGGTATATATTCATCTCCTTGTAATCAGCTACCGACTAATAAGAAAAGCAAGAGAAAGCTCTATTTCTCCGTGGAGTAAGCTCATTCACACTGAATGAGAAGAACCACGTAAATCCCGTGTTCGCGTTCGTTACTTCTCGCTTTATATTTTACAATTGGTGTTCATTGTAGTCAGTAGTCTAGGAAAGAGATCGCCCACATAATAATTTTATCGTCGACTAGTTCCACGTCAAGTAAGCATTCCTATTTCCTTTCAAAAGAACGGCAACAGCACACTGATGATACTGTGTTTATAGTGACAGGTCCAATCTTTAGTTAGGAGGAATTTAAAATCACTAATTGTTGAAATGTATTTGAGGTTGACAAGTAATACATTAGATGTATTTGCAAATCACCCCATGAATTTTACACAAATTCAAATACCAAATGTAATTAATATCCAAAAAAATTTGACAAACAAGGATTTGGCACCACTAGCCTAGATCATGGAGGTGTTAGGTTCAAATCCCTTGATCAGTAATACCTTGATCACAAAAAATTAAATCTATATCAACCCTATAAAAAAATGATTTGACATTTACAAATTCAAATCACGAATACCAAATCCAAATTCTTCTATCTAAACACACCTAATGTATAGTAAAGCTTAAACCAAGGCAATTTGCTTCTCTAATGAGGTTTTTGTTTCTGGTATATCACTGAAGTGTCAGAGGAGTGTTAAGCTTGTTATACTCTGCTGCAATTGCTTTTCTTTCAAAACTTTTTACATGGCCTATTCAGACTTTGAAAGTTGCCAGCCCATTTGTAACATGTAATTTGCATGAATCATTGAAAAATTGCATGAATCGGTGATTACTTAAGGTTATTAAGTGTTATGTTCCAATTTGAAGAAAGACTGATCTAAGGAATTGATTGTCTGCATTCCCTGTTAAAACCTTCACACTCTCGTTTATTAAGAAAGTAAGGAAAGAAAATACATCATTTAGATGCAAAAATGGCTTCTAAATCTTTGTACAAGCGGTTTGGTCTAGACTTGAAATCAGCAGAGGATTGTTGAGACGAGCTCTCGCTCTTCTTACTGCCCCATAACCCACTCCATTTGGTCCTACTGCTGGAAGGATCCGTCGGAACACTTAAACCTCTGCCACCTGCGCTTCCTTCTCTCGTGAAACTCGCCTTCGCCATTTCTCTCAGCTGTCTCATCCACGGTTTATCCACCATTGGAGTCCCCGAGCTTCCCGAGTTCTTGTCCCTTTCAGCCGACGACGTCCGAGCCGTTTCCCCACCACCTGTCTCTCTGTCTTTCTTCGGTAGCTTGGAGAGCAAGCCAGCGCACATCTTCTTGGTCCCCAAGAAAACCAGCAACCCAACTGCTGCCATCTTCAAACCTGCAGAGAACGACTTCACCGCTGGGTCCAGATTTTTCGTCTGTCTGTACAAGGCATACCATTTATTTGCCGTATGAGCCAAGAAACCGGTCAAGAACATCGCAACCATAAAGATCCCAACACGGGTTTCGTTCCTTGTCGATAAAGGTTCCATCTTTGAGAGAATCAAACACGTGGTGAAAGTCAGGACTTGGCAGGAAAGGGAGATGATCTCGACTAGCTGCACTTTCTTCTTGATGAATGGCTTCTTCAGAACCACAAAGAAGAGCTGGAAAGCAGTGATGCAGAGTAAGACGGTGCTCGGGGTTTTGGAAGACCAGGTGTTGGCATATGAACCAGCGATGAACCCCAGAGCGACTCTTTTGATGGATTCGAGCAATGTGTAGTAGATCCTGAGAATTCCAAAGAGTTTCTGAATGAAGGGTGCTTCTGCATCTTCTGTCTCGTCGTCTGATGCAATGATTCTGTCCCTGTACTTGCTGCTGGCCACTCCTATCTGGGAAAGCATGTACTTCGGTGGGCCTCTGAGGTCTTCGAACAAAGGACCGAGCTTCGTTAGCTGGGCTGAGTTGATTGGCTGATCTTTCCATGTCCATTGGCCTCTCTTCCCTGGGCCTAATGTGACGCGAACCAGTTCCTGATACCAGTGGAAGATCTGGCCTACTTGATGGACTTCCTTGTACTGGAGTAGCTTCCCTAGAGTGATCCCAATGGAGAGGAATAATAGCAAGGCTAGAAGCAACATGCCAACTGCTGAAAGCAGTAGACTCCCGACTATAGTGCCTGAAACCGTTTTACCTGTGAACCATAATAAAAAGCAAGAGCAAGAGGATCAGCAAAAACTTCCTTACATTTACATAAAATTTTATTTTAGAACTACATTTTAATACCCCCCAATATTTTGTTTGACTTGGGATGAATAGTTGTTTTAGGAAGTTCAGTTCTTTGCCAAATTTTTGTCAAGTTACTCTTTGTATAACCTATAACATACCTTTCACCAACCCTGCAGAGGCCTTACAGATGCAAGGCAACACGAGAACCAGAAGAAATATTTCAAATCTTGGAAATACCAATGCGCCATTGTTGCTGTGCTTTTGAGATTCTTCTTCTCTCTTCTTGTACTTGAGAATCAGGAGTGCTATGGCATGCAGCAATACTAGACCACCACAGATTACTGCTAACCAGAACATACTTCTATTAAAATCTTTCCACCCATTGGAAGGCTGAGTTTCCATGATAAACTCTGCTTCTGGTTTCATGTCCTGGCTCTGCACATCACAAGTGATTCTCTTTAACATGAGAATGTTTCTCATTTGGTTTAGTATGTGAAAAGGAGCCAGAAGAGTTGCTGTACCTCGAAAAAGAATTTGTACTCCATTGGAGTAAGTGGCAATCCATATACTGAAGCAGCCATGCTCAATCTTTCCTTTTCCATATACATTTGCTTGGGGATTTCTGGATTATGGAATGTAGAAATGGCAGAAGAATGCGGAACAACAGCGGATGAATTTGGTTGTAGAGTTACTGAGTGAATACTCCCGGTTTCCCAGGGTAGTGTGAAGTATGGAACACTCCATCTTAAGCCTCTTGAGACTTCATAATATTCGACTGGGAGTGTGACAGCCAACCACCTAGAGAGTGCGAAGATCTGAACGTAGCATGCAATTCTCTGATGATAGGCAAAAAGTCAGATCTTCAGAGCTATTGGAAGCAGTAAAACTGTAGTCATAATAAGAGTAAGCTACATACGAAAAGATTCCTTGTTGGCTCGGAAGTCAGGAGGGGAGATGGCCTTGAAAATGCTCCAATGGCCTGAAGGCTAGCTGTTGACAGAGTGAGCAGTCCAGCAACTAGACATGTAGCAATGAAGCAAGCAGTTGAAAATGTGGATACTATGCACGAGATTCTAGGTACGGAATCTGTGAAGAAATTAGAGCATGTCAGCAACAAGAAGTCCATTTATATCTATACATCTTACTTCAAACATTACAATGCAAGAAATGGTATGGAAATAGAAGAAGAATTCTTACAGTGCCTCACTTGTAGAACATTGGATGGGAGATTCTTGTTTCCAGCAATATCAGAAGTGATATTGCCAGGAACACTAACTGATACTGTGTCGCCATCAGCTTGTACCTCTGTAATGTAGCTGCTCCTACTTAATTCATGGAAGCTGGAAATAGATGGAAGAACACAATGTTAAAATATGGTGAAATACCCAATTTTATTTTCCTGATATGAGGTAATTGTGAGCAGTAAGCTTGCCTCTGCAAATGCCCTCCAGAGATCGATAGAAAAGAAGAGTTGAAACCAAATACTGGTTTCATGAACTTTATCGACACCAGAAGGTTGTGTTCCCTTGTCCTTGTGTTGGATGTTGTGCTTAGCCTCACAGCAGGCTTCTCAGAATCTGATGCATTTCAGGGGGAAAAAAATTCTGAGGAAACCTGGAAGTTGTCGTGATGTAAGAAGGGAAAGGTTAAAGCTGGTACCATAAAGAAAGGTGGCTGGTGCAATAGGAGAGACTGGAGTCCCCGGTCTGCTTATAATCGAGTCCGAATGCATTGCAACTGTAACAATAGAAATGGCAGAAACATTTACAACCTGAAAAAGGAACAAGAAGACATGAGATGAGGCAAGCTAAAAAGGTAGAGAATAACAATAGATTGTCCATCTGCATTTACCTCGAAACCAAATCTACGGTTGCCAAGGCTTTCTCCACTTAATGGAAGCAGTGAGCCTCCACTTGCATTAAGAGAATTCAGCACTTCAGTTGATGAATTGAGGATAGGCTCCGAGAAGTAAAGATACAACTTGAGGTTATCATAGCTGTTAGTTGCTTGAACCGTCCTGGTTTCGCCTTGGAGTTGAAGTAACCTTTCAGGAATTCGAGTTCTCATGTCAACAAACACACTCCTCCTATCTTCATTAGCAAAACCGTCAACCGAAAGGAAATCAGAAAGTATAAGAATTAGATAATAGAAAACGAACATGAAGTTATCACTCACCAAATCGAAGAAAGTAACTAGAATTCTCTGTTCTGGTAAACATGTTTCCAGCATTATCAGTACAGAAGTTCTTGTTCATTACCAAGACAACTCGCCCGTATACAACGCTACGCGACAAGGTCACCATAAGAGAATACTTGAGGTTTGGTTCAAGAACGGTGAAGGAAGATGGCATCACTTGGCCAGCACCATATACTAGCAGCTGTAACAACACAGTTATAAAGTAGCATTAAAATAACTTGTCTACAAGAAAGATTAGTGCCACTAATTGAAAAATGAATTGCATCTGGATACCTAACAGTCTTCATTATATGCGTCTAAGTTAATATACAGAGTTTGAAATTGCCTAGACTTGACTAAAGTTCAAACAAATAGCACCACTCACATCGCAAGAGTCCGCTGATGCACATCGAAAACCTGCTCCTCCGGTGCAGGGCTCGGTGAAAGTGATATTTACAGAAACGTTTATGGAATTTGTGAACGATGATGATGCAACAATGGAAGCACTTGGAGAGACGGTGTCTGCAGAGGATTAGTGTAATAAACCCAGGTTAATCTATGTGGTTTCTTCAAAATCTCAATCTTGAAACATGCATCATCCATTTCAGCATCATTCAAGGGAGGAATTGGCTCAAAAGTGAAGGCACATTCAAGTCTTGTATACTCAAAAGGAATGAACTGTAGAAGGAAGCTCATGGTTTACCAACAGTCCAGTTGTAGTCAGCACAGACGACTGAAGAGCTTCCATTACTGCTGCAGACTTCAAACCCATGGTTGCCATCTTCCAACCCTGCATAGTAAACCTTCCTGGATCCACAATCTGTAGGTTTGCCGCCATCAAGCTGTAAGTGCCCAAAACAAATAGAGAGCCAGCCAGTAAATGCATGATTCATCATTTTTCTCTAATTTTGAATTCTAGAAAAACAGAAGCTACCAACTTCCCACTAACTGAAGCAAAAAAAAAAAAAAACTGACCTTGCAACTGAAAGTACAGTTAACACAAGCAGCACTCTCATTCTCACCCAGAAATGCTAGGAACTCAAATGTAGCTCTGCTCAACTGAGAAAACTCATGTGGAGCCTTCAAGAACTTGAGAGACACATCAGCAGCATCACAACAGAGAAGAGATCTATAGCCCAATATCGAAAGCAAACAAACCACCCAGGAAAGCTTGAGCAAACCCATTTCATGAGAGAAAAATACTCCAAAATTGAAGTCTCAAAGCCTAAAGCTTTAACCCAGTGGCACACATTTCTGGGTAATTCAGCCTATTTAGTGGCCAATGTGTGGAATCCAAAGGGCGCCTGGAAATGGGTAAGGCAGAATGTGGCCAAGAAAGGATGATGGAATGAATGAATAATACAAATTTGGAGCTTTGTTGACTGATTATGATTGATATACAATGGAGGGCAAAAAAAACAAAAAGATTCAGTCTTTTTAATCTTTTTCGGTTGCTTAAGGATAGTGCATGTGAGACTCAAGAGCGGTACAAGTGTAAACTTTGACAAGATAAGAAGAAGAGAGAAGAGAGATTCTTTCTGGTGAAGAATTGATTGTGAATTGTGCTGTTTGGAAGAAGACAGACAACCAAAGGAGCAATGAAAGCAGCAGCAGTAAGATGCAGTCGCAAGTGCTTCTTGTCAGGAAGTGAAGGGTGGAGGAGTTTGGGTTTGAAACCAATAAGCCTTCCCTGCTTCACGAATTTGGCTTCTTTCTAACTTCGTAGCAGTTGGAAATGAAAAGCTCGGCTGCTTTTTACATTCAAGAGAGAGACAGAGAAAGCCCCACACTGCTTGGATTTTTCTACCAATTCTTCAAAAAATGGCCACAAAAATCATGGAGGTTTTTCAGGACCTTGTGTACTGTGATGTTAATGTGTGGTAGTTGAAGCCAGTCGCCTGAGGTTATGAACTTTTCAAGTCCTTGGCTGTACCTATGCAATTGCATGCAGCTAAGGGAACATTAATGGAAAACTTTGCTGTATTTGATGAAAACCTTTATTGTGTTGTACCATACAATTTACCCACATTTAAGCCATTCTTCCACTTTTGAGTACCTATTCCCCCAATCTGCATCTACACATACCACTTTTATGTTATGATACATTTTCGTTAAAAGTTTACCATTGAACTGTGTCAATTTACCAACAGCAGAGTTAAGAATTAGCTTAAGAATTTATTTAGTTGTCTAATCGAGTTTGTTAGAGGTTAGAGTCCACTTTCAGGATTGGTTATTCTTCACTATGGTCTCCCACTCTACATGATATGAGAGGAGTAAATTACGATTTCTCCGATTATAGAATCCCAACTTCCAAATCACCCTAGAATTCCATGATTTTGGCTCATCATCAGTATACTCACAAACAGTTTTATTTCACCTGACAGCCACATGCATGCGCTTAGTGAAGGTTACAGTTAGAAGCCCTAAAGTCATTCCAAGTACAATGATGAAGTGCCAAAGCTGAGAAAATATAAAGGTTTAAAGCCTTTCCAGAATGGCAAAACTGACTGGACCACTGCAAGCTCATCACTTGGAACTTGGAAGAGAGAATTAAAGAGGGAGGGCACCGCACCAGCCCTACGAATGGAAGGATGATACTTGGGATCTATTTAAAGATGGACAGGAGAAAGGCATTAAGTTTTGGCATCTTGAGTGGGCAAGAAAACCTAGGGGAGAGATCGGAGAGACTTAAAGCCATTTGTGACACAGAGACTGAAAGGGACAGTTTGCATGATGAATTCTGGTTGCTCGTTGTTTGTTTTTACTTGCTACTGGGGGGAGAACAAACCAGAGCATTTTTTCTTGTTTACATTACATGGATGCGTTCAAGGGACATTTATGGGTTCTTAGCTGTCTTTCTCATCATCCTTAGCCCGCTGATAACGGTCCACTTGCACATTTATATGTTGTGTTCTTAGGTGTGTTGATTGTTGAACATGGTCTTATGGTGGTTAAGATGGGTGATAGGGCAAAAGCGTAGAGCTTCAATTCCTATCTTGTAGTAAAACCGGAAATTTGGGTATCGTCTCTCAGCGACTGGTACAACTTTATGTTCTCTCAATTTTATGGAGCAAACTATAAGTGAAAATGGTTTGAGTGATGAAACTATTATCCAATAGCAAAATAATTAAACAAAACAAGCAAATTAAAATTGTCGGGTTGAAATCAATGGGAGAAAGCTCTGGGAGAAACACCGAGACTCGCTATCTATCATATCCAAATTAATTCGCTTTTTCTAATCACTTTAATCCAATGCTCTACAGTCAGGATATCTCTGTTGTGCTAGCTATCCTTGTCGGAAATTACTCAGTACTAAACAATTAAATCAAATCCTACTGTCGTAGCTCAATGAGTTAATTATTTAGCCTGGAGACCAATATCCTATTCAAGACCGCCACCTTAATTAATCCATTGCCGCTTCAATAAGTTACTATGTCACATGAAATATGTTCAGTTATCAGGGTTTCACAGTCGCTAATAACCTAATTAACTACAAATCATTATATTGGTGGCCAATCAACACAAAGCATTAAACAATTCCATAAAATGGAGATTGAAAGAAAAAGAGATATGAACTAATTCATCAAGACAAAAATAATTATGTCCTATGGTGTTTCCCCCAGTAATTGGAGTTTAGTTCATAACGAAATCAAAAGATATAATCATGTCCTTCTTCATCATGAAACTAATCGACGAAAGAGAAAGAAAATAATGCCCTATAATTGGTCACCGTCGGAAACCAACAGAGAGCAGTATCTCGCCAATCGTTCTCCGTCTGCTGCTTGCATTGCGCTGCGCTGCTGGTTAATTCCTCCAAGCTCTCGCTGCTCCGCTCGACCAGTCCGCCCGAAGAATTCTGCTCCAAAAGGCACGACTGGATACTGGGAGGGAGGTGAAGACGGAAGAGAGAGAGAGAGAGAAATATATAGAGAATGGATGTGTGAGTGGGAAAAGAGAAAGTTACACTCTGTTTGGGAAGAGGTGCAAAAGGTGGGGGTGCAAATGTGGAGGTGCAAATGGTGTTTTCAATGAATTTGCACTTGTTTGGTTAAATTCCAACAGTATGAGGGGGGAGCAAGTTGGGGGTTTTTCTACTGTTTTGGTGTGCCCTCCGATTTGAGGTGCAAGGGAGAGAGAAGGGAGAAAGAAAAAAAGAAAAATGGAGGTGGGGCCTGAGAGGAGGAAGTTGTGCAGCTGAGGGGAAGGAAAGATATGAGAAATGGGAGAGAAGGTGGGGCCAAGTTGGGTGTGATGTAGATTTTTTATGTAGTTTTTTAATTGAAATTATTTTTATATACAAATTTGCACCCTCCTACTTTTTTTACCAAACAACAATTTGCACCTAAATTTGCACCCTCCTTCATTTTGTTCCCCCCTCGAATTTGCACCTCAATTTGTACCCCCCTCGAATTTGCACCCTCCTCGTTGCCAAACAGAGCGTTATTGTGGACTGTAGAGATGTGAGGGGCGATAGATGAAGAGAACATTTTAATGCTCTACATAGCACAATTTTATTGCCTAATTATATGGTGTGCACTCAAACGACGATAGTAACGCGTTTGGCACACTTTGGGTATGACACCGGACGGAGATACGTAATGTAGTGATCATAACCCTAGCTCTCTAGTAGAGCACTACCAGACTTAGTTTCTGGCAATTTGTGATGTATCTATTGGTTTTGATAATTTGGTTTCTACGAGATATTGATACATGGTGCATCTATTGGTTGTACTTGTACCCGGTGGAATGAATGATCTGGCAAGTAAAGGATAAAATTTATGGATTCAACTTAATTTTTGTATGTATGTGTGATTGGTTACTTAGATGTGATTATATCTTTAAATGAGATCTTTGCACATACTACCTTGGGGTTGTATGATGATTAATATAAAACTTGATAGGTGTGAAATTAACATATGTGATGAGTACAGTTGCTTGAGGGAAGAACCTCGCGAGTCTTATACTGGTATAACATAGAGGATGTCTTGGGAGAGAAGGGGGCTTGATTTTACTGATAACTCTATTTGTGTGGATATTGTTATTAAAATATTATTTACTCATTAAGCGATGTCTAACCTTGTCGATGTCTCTCTTTAGATCCAGAGCACTAGAATTAAAACTCGAGGGACAAGGCTATCAAGTTTGTCAACTATGAGGTGGGCGGAAGGCTGAACAAATTTCCCACATGTTCATATTGGATCCGGGAGCGGTAGATAACCTTCTATGCTTTGGTTTAAAGAATAAAACATTCTATGTTTTAGAGGCATGGTTTCCTCGCAAATTTGCATAAGCTAATGTTTAGAATTTTACGCATAAACAGAACAGATTTGTAAATATGGGTCCGTTCCCTAGAATAGCTTAGTTTGGCCCTGCTGTAACTTTTGCAGAAGCAGCTTCTGCTGGAGTTTTTAGATAAGTACTTTTAAAAAAAAGCAGTTTAGTGTTTGGTTGTAAAACTATTAGAAGTGCTTTTTAATATGAGCGGTTGTGTGAAATGACTATAAAGAACTTATAATATTAAGTATAAATAAAAATTCTAAACAATAAAAAATAGTAAAAATGGATCTTGTTAGATTTCTTTTATATTAAATAATATGATTTTATAATTTATTTTATTTTTAAAATGATATAAATGAAGGAAAATTATATTTTCTGAAATAATTAAAATATGGTAAGAATAATCTTGCATTTTCAAAACAGCTTTCCGCAGAAGCTCCAAATCGGAGCTTCTGCTTTTATGTTATACAAAAGCGCTTTTCGACTTTTCAAAAGCCGAGCTTTTAGAGGTGTTTGGCCCTGCTTCAGCTTTTGAAACCAAAAAACACTTCTAAAAGCCGGGCCTAGGGAATATTAGAATGTTTATAAGTACTGTATTCGATCTCTAGTCAAGGAATGGGTGTTATGTGCCAATGATAGTAATACGGTATTAGGTAGTCACAGATTTACAGGATTTAGGTTTAGTGGTGAGATAGTAGACTGACAAATTAAGTTGGATGCTTTTGATAATAGAGAATGTTGTTCTGTCTAGGGTGCAGCTTATATACCATGTCACAGCTTTAACTATGCTCGAGTTACTGTGCGCAAACTTTATCTTGGCCTTGTATCCCGAGGTTATTTACTGTGTTTTGCACGTGATTTGTTGGAGTATCTGGATGGAACGCAACAGTAGGATTTTCAATGATTGCTACTTTACTCCGGAGAGAACGGTGAGCAAGATTATCAGGATGGTTGTTGGGTGGATGGTAGCTAACGGAAAGGTTGAGAGGAGTCTAGCTACTGCTTGGATGGGGTTGTTTTTGCAGCAAGTTTGATTTTTTCAGGCCCTTTGGACTTCGACATTTTCATTGGGTTCTTGCTCGAAGTCTCCGGGGCTGGGCAAACTGTTTTTCTCTCTTTTTTTATTGCTTTTCGCAGCTTTCAGCTGCTGTGTTTTTGCTTTCGTTTTGGGTTTTTTCGGTGCAGGGTCGGTTTGGCCCGGCTTCCACGGAAAAAATCCAAAAGTACCACTGTTTAAAAAAAAAAATTCAAAAATACCACCCAACCCCAAAAAATTCCAAAAATACCACCCTTTTCAAAAACCGCCACCCCGCCCTGTGGTTTACACGAAAATCGTTTGTCGGAGGCGCGGTTTTCTATGCAAACCGCGGGCCTAGGGGGCTGTTATAAAAAAAAAAAAATTTTGACCAAACCGCTGGGTGGGGTGGCGGTTTTGGGTCAAACCGCCACCCCACCCAGCGGTTTGGTCCAATTTTTTTTTTTTTCGATCAACTCCTAACTTCGGCCGAAACTTCAAACGAACGTAACTTTTCACTCGGGTATCCGATCGTAGCGATTTTTTTTTTCATTTCCCATAACTTTTCAAGATCTACAACTTTTACTAGGATGAAATTTTCAAAACTGCAACTATTTGTGCATATACGGGACCTTGGGAATAACTTTACCTTTACTTTTCACAAATTCATGTATATTTTGAAATTATGATTATATTAAAAGTTGTAGATCTTGAAAAGTTATGTGGAATCAAAAAAAAATTCATGAAATTCGAATTTTGGAGCACAAAGTTATGGCCGCCCAAAGTTTGACGAAATCAAAAAAAGGCTCCTTCGGGGTGGCAAATGACGTTTTTTCGAGACGAAGGCGGGACCCGGCGGATTGCGGCTTGCAAGATCTCAAAAATTTATTCGGATTCAAAAAATGGAGGCCGCAAACTTTTTGAGATCTTGCAAGCCGCATACTGCCGGGTCTCGCATTTCGTCAAACTTTGGGGCCTCCATTTTTTGAATCCGAATAACTTTTTGAGATCTTGCAAGCCACAAATCGCCGGGTCCCGCCTTCGTCTTGAAAAAACGTCATTTGCCACCCCGAACGAGCCTTTTTTTGATTTCGTCAAACTTTAGGCGGCCATAACTTTGTGCTCCAAAATCCGAATTTCATGAATTTTTTTTTTATTCTACATAACTTTTCAAGATCTACAACTTTTAATATAATCATAATTTCAAAATATACATGGATTTGTGAAAAGTAAAGGTAAAGTTATTCCCAAGGTCCCGTATATGCACAAATAGTTGCAGTTTTGAAAATTTCATCCTAGTAAAAGTTGTAGATCTTGAAAAGTTATGGGAAATGAAAAAAAAAATCGCTACGATCGGATACCCGAGTGAAAAGTTACGTTCGTTTGAAGTTTCGGCCGAAGTTAGGAGTTGATCGAAAAAAAAAAAAATTGGACCAAACCGCTGGGTGGGGTGGCGGTTTGACCCAAAACCGCCACCCCACCCAGCGGTTTGGTCAAAATTTTTTTTTTTTTATAACAGCCCCCTAGGCCCGCGGTTTGCATAGAAAACCGCGCCTCCGACAAACGATTTTCGTGTAAACC